CTCTCTTCCTGTCCCTTTACTCGTTGGCCAGTGGAAACCCTTGCACTCATTCTTAATGAACCATGTTTTCTCACCTTCAGCCTTCTGCTCTTGCTGGGCCCTGTGCCCAGAACATTTTTCCTCTGTTCGTCACCCGGCTCACGGTTGCTCATGTTTCGGGTCTCAGCTGGGCAATCCCTTTTTCCAGAAAGCCCTCCTGGACTCCTGGGCTGGGCCATGCCCCCCTAGGCTTCCCTGTCCTGGCCCTTCCCACTCTGAGTTGTCACTTTCTAGGGAAGGGTCTATGTCACCCGCTAAGCTGTAAGTTTCATGACTGCAGGGCTGTATAACTCATACTAGGAAGTGACGGTTCAATTTCTTGACCTGCAGCTAATAATAGCACCTACTTTTCAGGCTTTGGGGAAAAGTGACGATGGATTAAAGCCTGTTGGTGCAACGCCTGGCAAATTTCACTCCCGCCCCCAGACCTGGCTGCTCTTGTTTTTTTTGTTTGTTTGTTTTTTGTTTTTTTTTGAGACAGAGTCTCGCTTTGTTGCCCAGGCTAGAGTGAGTGCCCTGGCATCAGCCTAGCTCACAGCAACCTCAAACTCCTGGGCTCAAGCGATCCTCCTGCCTCAGCCTCCCAAGTAGCTGGGACTACAGGCATGCGCCACCATGCCCGGCTAATTTTTTTCTATATATATTAGTTGGCCAATTAATTTCTTTCTATTTATAGTAGAGACGGGGTCTCGCTCTTGCTCAGGCTGGTTTCGAACTCTTGACCTCGAGCAATCCGCCCGCCGGCCTCCCAGAGTGCTAGGATTACAGGCGTGAGCCACCGCGCCCGGCCTGCTCTTGTTATTAATAGTCTTAATGTGTCCTCCGGGACTGCTGACCCCTCCCCCAGGAAGCCCTCCTGGACCCCCGGGCTGGATCAGGGCTCGCTTCTGGGACATCCCAGCTCTGACCATATTGGGTTATTACTATCTGGGGACAGGTCTGTCTCCCCAGCTGGACTGTGAGCACCAGGAGGGCAGGGCCGGGGCTGTTGTGGTCACCACCTGTGTCCCAGGACTGCCCAGCACAGGGTCCTCCACAGACCAGGCGCTAGAGGAAGGTGTCTTGAATGAACGAATGAATGAATGAATGAATGAATGGCATTAGCAATTATTTGATCCCTCATTGTTCTAGGTCTATCAGTCCTCTTTCCCAGGCTAGCAGATACAATCAGGTCCCACAATTATGTTGTTAATGCTGGGATTTAGAGAAAACTTAGGAAGGGGTGTGGGTAGGCGTACGAGAGAGGCGGAGAGCGAGCGTGCGCATGCGCACTTCAGGAGGCGCGTTCCAGTGGTTCAAAAGAGTTCAGGATGGATTTTGGAAATCTAGTCTGCAGACGCCGCCGTAAGGGCGGAGAGCATGCCTGTCTTGCTCACAGCTGTGTCTCCAGCACCTGGCACGGAGCTGTCACACAGAAGGTGATCGAACCAGACATTGGTAAAGTAGCCTGGGAATCTTGCTGTCCCTGTGACTGTGGCAGGAGAGACCTGGGTGAGTACAAAAGAGTGAGGGAGACAGCTGCCCATGAAACTCGTTTCCTCCTGTCTCCAGTCACCCAGCTAGATGGCATTGCTCAGAATGTCTCACGATTACGCGTGGCCTTCTGCAACCTAGAGGAGGGCAGAGCCACAGGTTCGAAGCAGCCTGGGTCCCTGAGTGGCTGTGGGTGGCAGAGTCTCCCCGATGACCTGCACTGGCCTGTGACATCCGTGAGAAATACCCTTTTGCTGGGTTAAGCCACTGCACCTTGGGGACATTTGTTACAGTAGCTAGCCGACCCTGGCGAGGACAGGTCGGCGTGGCTGGAGAGAAGCAGGAAGTAAGATGAGGAAAGGGACGTGAGCAGGTGGACCCTGCGTGCAGGGCCTTGTGGGGCCATGTGACCAAGTTCTGCCCGGTGGGATAAGAGCAGAAGTGATGTGAGCAGTGTCTGGGGTGGGTTAGGGTCGCGCTACCTGTCTGTCACCACCCTCAAAGGAAGCAGTAAGCCTGTCTTCACCATCTCCTCTTTCTGCTGGCTGGAACAGAGGTGCCATCTTGACCATGTAACGTCCCGGGGAGCGCAGAGCCACCAGGTAAAGGAGCCTGGGTCCCTGGATGACCTGGTGGAGCAGAGCCGCCCTCCCACTCCTGAACCGCCTCCGTCCGGAATGTTACATGAGAAAGAAACGAATGTATATCTTGTTTAAGTCACTGCGCTTTTGGGTCTCTGCCAACCTCACATGCCAGTATGACAAGGGGATCCCTGGGAGAGGACCAAGTTTTGAGTCTGGGACAAATCTTGAAGATAATGTTGTCCCCTTAGCCCCACCTACCCCCATGCTGAGTTTCTCCGCCCTCCTCCTCCACCCAGTGTTGGGCCAATTCTTCCTTTTATGTTTGTGCCTGTGGTTAATCAGCACATCATGACAAATATGCCTGCCAGGGAGGTACAGAGCACCTGGGTAGAGAAGAAAGTTCTAGCTCTTTGTTTTTGTCTTCGACCTGGGTGTAAAATATGTGAGGTCTACACAGTCACCAAATAACCAGAACAGGCCTGGGATTCTCAGTTTTCTTATCTAGTGTCTCTTACTTTCAACAGTGGTGTCATGTTTCTGGAAGTCACACTCTTCCCCCCTCTGGGATTTGGGGTGTTATTTTGCTTGTTCTTGGCTCACACTTTCACTGTGACCCAAGCCATATGTTCCTCAGTATGGCCACAGGCTCTCCCCTGGCCTCTGGGTCTCTAATTTTTTTTTTTCTCAAATCTAGACTATCCAACCTTGTTTTTCCAAAGGCATTTATGTCTTTGACCTTTTGCCTGAAATCTCAGGGTTAGATATATCCATTAGGATTAGACTACGCCGCAAGGAATGGTGGCTGCAAGTAAGATAGAAGTTTGTTTCTTCTTTCATGTAAAAGAAATCCACAGGTTTTTAGAATAGGACTAATTTGGTGGCTTCAGAGTCTCCAGGCACTAATATTTCAGTGGTGTGCTCATAAACCTACTCTATGAAAAAAAAAAAAAAAAATCCCTGATTTGTAGTGTTTTCCAATTTGTGTGCTGTAAATACCACCACCACAGTTGATCTCAAACTACCAATGTGTCATCATTGAACGTGGGGATGGGAAGAGATGCACACAATCAAGTTCTCACAGGCCAGCACAAGCTGGGTTCAATGGCACTCTGTTCTCCTCCACAGGTAACACTTACCTCATGATGCATGGTGGCTGCTCAGTTCCAGCCATCACATTCCCATTCCTGCCAACAGGGGAAAAAAAGAGAAGAGTGTTCTTTCCCTTTAAGGACATGTTCTGAAAGTCACACACAACACTTCTCACATCTTATTGACCAGAATGTAGGGACATGGCCATGCCCAGTGTCAGGAGACACTGGAAAATGTAGTTTTCTTTCCCCTCCTGGACACCATGTGCCTAGCTAAACATCAAGGATTCTGCTGCTATGGAGAGAGGAGAGAGTAAAAAAGCTGGGGTCCTGAGGGCAGTTTCTACCGCTGCTGGCCAGGTCGGGCCATCCTGCTGCAGCGAGATGATCATTGACCTTCTTCTCAGGGTTTGGGGTGCTTAGCCCTGATTTTCTGACTGAGCAAGTGAGAGGAGTTTGGGTTGGGTTATTCCTGCTAAACTCCTGCTTGGAGAAGGGTTTGTGACTCAGCTTCCAGTTTCGAGCCTTTGAGTTTCTCCAGAGGTGTGGTTTCAGTCTCTCATTCATTCACTCAACAAACATGTATGTAGCACCTACTGTATGCAGATACAGAGATACAGGTCACAGAGCTGACAGTCTAGTGGATGAGATACATAGTAAATATTCACACAAATAAATATTTAATGACAAAATGTGACAAATGGTATAAAAGAGAACATGCTGTGCATGAGAGAGTTTAACCAGGGGCTGAATTTACAACAGGGGTGACCAGGAAGGTCTTTTTGAGAAAATTTGCTGTTTCTTTTTCTTTTTCTTTTTTTTTTTGCATTGAGAATCACAACAATTCTCAGCTGCGGGCTCGGTCAGAGGATGGCTGGATGCTGGCTGGTGGCTGAGGTGGTGGCTGCCCTGTGACCTCTTGAGACTCAGCCAGGCTCTGAGCTGCAGAAACCAGCTACCTCTCTGTCACCACCCAGGCAGGAAATGACTAACCTCTTCGACAGTCGAGGGCTGTGGGATGGGGGTGGGGCGTGGGAAGACACTTGGGCTGGGAAAGGAACTAGAGAGGTGTCAGGAGCTTCTGAACAAGTCTAGACCCTTCAACAGACCAGGGCAAGCCCCCCCAGAATGGCGAGAATCAAGAATCAGCATTCCACACATAAAGGTGCTGTGGGATTTATTTATTTTAACAATTAGGATTTGGAGCTATGCTGTCTAATACAATAGCCACTAGCCACAGGTGGCTATATAAAATTAAAATTAATTAAAAGTAAATAAAATTAAAAAATTCAAGCTGGGCATGGTGGCTCAGGCCTGGAATCCCAGCACTTTGGTGTCCCGGCCCGCGGGACCTCCTGTTACTCGAGGGGGGCCGTGCCTGAAAGAGATGGGCGAGAGAAAGGAGCGAGACCAAGCAAAGGGTTGTCAAGGTCTGCTTTACTTGGATTTTTAGTAGGTTTTATATACAGAAACAAGGAAGTAGAAACAGAAAAATAGAGTGGGGGGATGATGAGGCTTGGGTGTGGGCTAATCAGCCCCAATCAGCATCCTAATGGCACCGGAAGCTGTTTGTGATGGATCACTCAACCCCAACCTGGCAGGGGGTCGGGAACAATTGCAGGTAGCATGCCCTGGAGCAAGCACGTCATGGAATGCATTCTTCTCGGAACTATAGCTGGGGGGCTGGGTGCTATTTTCGTCTTAGGCTATTTTCCCTGCGTAGGACAAGTCAGGACAAGTCGTTGGAATGTGGAAGGTCTTAGTCTCCAACACTTTGGGAAGCTGAGGTGGGAGGATAACTTGAGGCCAGGAGTTCAAGACCAGCCGGGGCAACATAGTGAGACCCCCACCTCTAAAAATAAAAAAAAAATAAATAAAAGAAGATCTTAAAATCCAGTTGCTTAGTTTCACTATCCACATTCCAAGGGCTCAACTGCCACATGTATTGGATGGTGTTGCATTGGACAGCGACATTGGACATGAGACGTTTCTGTCACCGCAGAGAGTCCTGTTGGATGGTGCCGGTCTGGACACGGGCTTTGGGATTGGGCAGACTTGAGTTGGCATCACGTTTGACTGTGTGATCTTGGGCAAGTCGCTTCCCCTCTCTGAACCTCACTTTTATCCTATGCACATGAGCACAGTGACATCTACGCGACACAGAGGAGGGGAGGGTGTTCTGGTTTCACGGAAGAAGCAACAGGGTAGTGGGGTGATTGGCAAGCAGATTTCAGAGCCAAGCAGCCCGGTTTGAACACCAGCTCCAGCACGTTCTATCTGTGTGACCCTGGGCAAGTCACTCACGTGTTCTCTGAGCCTCCCCTGCTTTGTCTGTGGAACTGGGGTGCATTCTCCTCTCCTCCGTGGGGACAAGGAACGTGGGACCACAGAAGGCGCATAGCCAGTGGCTGGCACGTGGAGAGCCTTCAACAGGCACGACCTGGACTCAGATCTGCCACCAGAGCTGCTATTAGTGCTAATCACACGCCGTGTCAGGTGGCTTTGCGTTGTTCACCCACACTCGTGTCCCCTGTGCCTGCCACCCGTCAGGGTCCTCCAGCAAATGGGGTGTCAAACTCGAGAAGCTCAAAACCAAACGGTTGATCTCATCCACAAACGTGCCACGGATTTCTGCGGGCCACCTCCCCAACTTCTCATGAAGACAGCCTCCGTCAGAAATCATTCAGAAACTTTTGCTTTTTGCAAAGGAGCAAAACTAAGCTGCGTGCGTAGAAGACATACTTTGGGGTCCGCCTGCTTGCAGGGCAGAGCCTCCCCCTTGTTTTCTGAGCTCTGAGGCCCCCTCCCCCTGACAGAGCTGGACCCCCGGGGCTCTCCTTGCACGACACGTCCCCCTGCCCTACTCCTGGCCACGGGGATGGGACCAAGGATGGCACCAAGTGAGTCCATCAGACACTTTCTTCAGGCATTTCAGAAACAGGGCGAAGGGAGTCTAGTCGGGCTGTTCCCTGGAACAGAGGTGCTGAGGTCTTGGAAGCCATGGGCTGGTGTCTTTCTCCAGGTAGATGGAGAAGCGTTGAGTTCCCATCTGCAGAGACAGACACAGAGAGAGAAAAGCTATGAAGTCCACGTTCAGGGAGAAGAGGATGGCAAGGGCGGGAGGCTGGGGGCTGAGAGGCAGCCGCGTGTTCCTGCGTTTGGCGGCGGGTTGCAAAAGTGGGCGGAGTCATCGATTTCCTCACTTCCTGCAGCCAGGCCGGCCACGTGACTCGCTTTGGCCAATAGAATGTGCAGAAAGTGATGCTGCCCATTCTGAGCTTGGGCCTTAAGGGGCCTCGTGGCTTCCGCTCCCACGTGGAGACCCGGCCTCCGCGTGGGGACAAGCTTGGGCCACCCTGCTGGCGGGGTGGAGGTGACACGGAGGGGAGGCCCTCGGGCTCTGATGGGGCTGTGGGATGGGTCTCTGTCTCCATGGAGAGCGAGCTCTGGGCCCCGCGGGGGGCGAGGGGCAGGGGAGGTACCTCTAGTGGCGGATGAGGAGTGAGCCCGCGGCCCCCATCAGGACCAGGCCTCCCAGAACTCCGGCCACGAGGAGGCCGATGGCAGGCGCCCCCGACAGCGCGAGAGTGGGGTCTGGCTCGATGGGCTCAGCGTCCGTGGGCTCCACGATGGCTTCTGGGGACCAAAGAGGGGCAAGATTGGAGGCATCGCCCTTCCTCCCTTCCTCTGCACCCCCACCTCTGGCCATTCCGCCTCCCGAGATTGTCTCTTCAATCCATCCCTTCCTCCTGCCCTCCGGCCCTCCACCCCAGCCTCCCCCCATCCTCCTGCCCCAGTCTGGCCCACACACGTCTCCCACTGCACGGAAGCCAGAAGGGGTCAAAGCTCACACTTGACCCTGTTCCTCTCCTGCTCAGAACCCTGCTGTAGCTCCTCAGCACCCCGGGGCAGAAGCCAGCCCCTCACCTTGGCCTTCAGCCCCGGCCACCTGGCCAGCACTGCCCAGCATGGGCTGGGCACACAGTAGGTGCCTAACAACCATTTCCTGAACAGCTGACGAATGAGCAAAGGGGGTCTTGGAAGTGTCATCATTCTCAATGACTATATCAGGGTCACCAGGTGCTGTAAGATGTAAATATTTTTTTCTCCCAGTGAACCAACCCGACACCAAATCCTGAAGCTCCCCCTTGGACCCTGGCTGGGGAGATGAGGCGGTTTCAGCCAGCTCCCTAACCACTTCTCTGACCCCAACAACCAGCCATTCTTGTTATGGCTGCCCGGGCCCCCACCCACGCGACTGCAAATGCTAATTGTTCCAACATTAATGACAATAATGACAACCCTGGCCGGGCGCGGTGGCTCACGCCTGTAATCCTAGCACTCTGGGAGGCCGAGGCGGGCGGATTGCTCGAGGTCAGGAGTTCGAAACCAGCCTGAGCAAAAGCGAGACCCCGTCTCTACTATAAATAGAAAGAAATTAATTGGCCAACTAATATATATATATATATATAAATTAGCCGGGCATGGTGGCGCATGCCTGTAGTCCCAGCTACTCGGGAGGCTGAGGCAGAAGGATTACTTGAGCCCAGGAGTTTGAGGTTGCTGTGAGCTAGGCTGACGCCACGGCACTCACTATAGCCTGGGCAACAAGCGAGACTCTGTCTCAAAAAAAAAATAATGACAACCCTAATTGTAACCATAGTACTAGCTCACACTTACTGAGCACACATCAGTGTTTGATAGCGCGAGGCATTACTATTTTAAGCTGTTCACCTGTTTATCTCATTGAATGCTCTTAACTGCACTTTGAGGTGGGCACTGTTATTTTCCCAGGGTTGTAGATGAGGAAATTGGGGCACAGAGAAGTCAAGGCACTAGCCCAAAGTCACACAGCCAGGAAGTGGTGGAGCCAGAATTGGGATTGCAAAGCCCGTGCTCTGAGCCACTCCTCGTGCTGTGATCTGCGTTTTTGGCAGGCACGTGCCGAGTCTCAGAGAGGCGAAGGGGCTTCCCGTGTTCACGCAGCCAGCAAAAGCTTGCAGCTAGGACCCAGGCCACCTGGTCTGAATCCTTGGCTGGGCTTTGCACGGTTCCCCTCTTTCAGCCGCAGCTTGTCACCTGAAAATAGGCTACGGATCCCCAACCCGCCAGGCAGATGGAAGAACGGAATGACATTTTGGCTATAAAAAGGGTCTGAGAGGGGCTTGTCGAGGGTGGCTCAGTAGAGTCAGGAAGGCTGCCGCAGGCCAGTGAGGGTGCAGGGGCCTCGTTGGGGGGGGGACTCACGTGGCAGCATGACAGTCACAGGCTGGGAGGACAGCTGCACCCCACTGCTGGTGGCCGTGCACACGTAGGTGCCCAGCTGCTCCTGGGACAACCGCCGGAGGAACAGCCTCTCCCCGGTCCCACAGAACTCCCCATTGAGGGTCCAGCTCAGCACAGGCTCAGGGGTCATTGTTGTCACCCACTCCAGGATCACCGAGTAGTTGAGGTCGCTCTCGATGACGCCCTGAATAGCTTGTGGGAATGTCCGCAGCGGCACTGACTTGAAGCTGTCTGCAAAGACAGGGAGCAAGGCCACGTGGGTGGGGGCCACTCAGAGACGCTGGGCATTTCTCCTGTCCCCAACAGAGCCATTCAATCATCCTTTCGTTTGTTCAGTCTTTCACCAAGGAACGTGTCTGGAGAGCCCGGTCTGTGCCCCGGGCTGTTCTAGACTGGGTGTAGCAGAACCGCCGGCCACCCACTCCAAGCCCTGACCCTTGCCACTTCCAACTGCCAGCACCTGCGTCCTGTTCCTGATGGCTGTTACCGGTTGCTAGTGTCCCTTTGCCAGGGAGGCAGCAGGCCAGGAGTGTGGGGAGCGAGCGCACACAGGCGCAGGCCCACGATGCCTTCCCCGCCTCACTCCCCCAGCCCCGGGCAGTTCTCTGTGCCTTCCGGATAACCTGCGTTCCAGACAATTCTCGCCTCTGGCTCTGCTTCTGGGTGAACCAAATCTAGGACACTGCGTCTCAGCAGTGATTAGACAGAGACAGTCTCTGCCCCGTGGAACTGACAATCGAGTGGAGAGACAGTCAACAAACAGATGAATGAATGTATAGTAGTGGTGGTGGTGACAGCTGGGAGGAAAGATACAAAGGGCTGCAGGGTTGGACTGGAGGTGGCGTAAGCCGGTTGCAGGAGAGATGGGCCAAGGAGGGCCTCTTTCAGGAGGTGACAAATGAGCAGAGTCCTGAAGGAGCCGTGTGGATTCCTGGAGAAAGAGTTTTCCAGGCAGAGGGAAGAGCAAGTGCAAAGGCGCCGAGATGCATGTGAGCCAAGGCGTGCACAGAGAGGAGGGAAAGGTGGAGAGGGGTGGGAGAAGAGGTCAGGGAGGCAACGAGGGCGGATCATGCAGGACCTCCTGGGCCAGGGGGAGGACTCTGACTCTGACTTTGAATGAGGTGGGAGCCGCTGAGCAGAGGGAGGATGGGAGCTGGCTAAGGTGTGGACAGGATCTCTCTGGCTCCCATGCGAGAAATTGACTTTAAGGGTGCAGGAGTGGACACTGGGAGCCCAGTGAGGAGGTGACCCAAGTGGCCTGTCATTCTCATTCCACATTTTTCAGGCGAAAGGCTCTGAGGGCCGGGGGTGACGAGGGCCAGGCCTCATGTTCAGAGAGAGGCACATCTGGGATTCGAACTCAGGCAGTCTGACATTGTACTGTGTCCTCAGAGCCTCCACTCAGAGCTGATATTTTATTTCAGTGGAATGTGATACATGAAAAGAAATTTACCAGAAGCAGGGAGCTCCCCGAAGGCTTCCCGGAGGAGGAGGAGCCTTAGCTAAATGTTGAAGGAGGAGAAGGAGCCACCAGGTGTAGAAACAAGAACCCATGGGACAGCCACCTGGACTGGGCTGTTACCAGGAGCCAAACGCCATCCTAAGCTCATGTGTTAATTCAGGGCTGGTTGTACTCCAAGTGAGACCCACGCGTGGGTGGTGAAATCATTTAGTAGGTTGTACTTGGCATTGAAAACACGAAAAGAAATATTACAGAAAACATCAGACTGTGTCGCTCATGGTAATAACTATGTTACCGTAATAACAGTTATACTTCCATGTATATTATTACTAGAAGCAACTGTGTTACTAGGGTAACAGTTACTACTCCAAGCACGATGTGCTCTGCGTTCCTTATGAAAGCCACTGGATTTACTCATTTAATCCTTACAACAATCCCTTGAGGTAATTAGCATCATTATTATCCCTATTTCGATGGGAAAATGAAGGCTCAAAGACACCAAGCCCCTGGAAACTAACAAGGCTACCATTTATTTACTCACTCCGTGGCAGGCACTGCTGTAGGCATTTGACATGATCGACTCGTGTACTCCTCACAATAACCCTATGAGATAGGTTCTGCTATGATCCCATTGCACAGATGAGGAAAACTGAGGCTCCAGGAAGGGAAGTCACTTTTGCGAGGACTCATGTGCGGCCTCAGTGACGGACGGTGCAGGATGCGAGGCGGGGCGTTCTGGCTCCAGAGCCGGCTGCCACGCTAGCGAGCACAAGTCCCTGCCACGTCCCTCTTCGGAAAGGACACTCGGGCTGAGAATGGCACAGGCAACGGTGTGCGTGTTGGGAGGCCTTTAGAAGAGGAATCAGCCTTCAAATCACAGAAATACAGACTGCCGGACCCCAGCAGGCCTTAGCATCTCTGGGGAAAGTCAGCGCAGAAGCGGGGTTCCAAGTGGGGGCGCCCTGCCTTTGCACTCTACCACCGAGACGTTGCCGGGCTAGAGAGGCCGCGCGGAAGGACAGAGGCTCCAGGATCATAGAGAGTTTTGCAAAATCCCAGCTCAGTCCTTGGCTCACCCTATGCCCACAGGCCGCTGACGTCACCTCTCTGAGCCTCAGTTCCCCCACCTGTGCAACGGGGCTGGTGCTCAGAGCATCCGTGTTCTCAGGTTGCTGGGAAATGACCCAGTGTCTGGTACATAGAGAATGTGCAGTGAATTGACGCCTGTTGTTTACTCTGATTGGCCCCTCTGCAGGAACACTTTCCCCCGGCTTTTCACCTGGCAAACTCCTACTCATCCTACAAGTCCCAACTCAGATGTCCCTTCCTCCAGGAAGATCCACCTGGCTCTCCAGGCTGGTCAGACATCCTTTATTCCCATATTGCCCTGGCTGACACCCCAGCATCAACCAGAACACAGAAGGCTAAGGAAGTGTTTGATGCACACATAACACAATCTTTTGGGAAAAAATCGTGTTGAATGGAAGGCCTACTGTCACCAGCTCTGCCCTAATACCCCGGTTCTTGTCTCCCTGCTACAAAGAATGACAGCGGTCTACAAAGCAAGAGTAGAAAAAGGACTTTATGGTAAGCTGAAAGGAAGCAAAAGTGCATGAAAGGACACTCCACGTGGAGGGAGTGGGCAGTGGACCTTTGTCTGCAGGGACTCTGGCCCCGAGATCTCTTTTGCCATTTTCTCCTAGGGAGGCAGGGCCGAGCTGTTCAGTTTCCCAGGGAGGGTTTGTGTCTGCCCTACCTTTCTCGGAGGCGGTGCACTTTGGCTCTCTGCCTTTCTGTACTCAGCAGGCTGAAAAGTCCCATGAAAAGTTCCTTTGTCTTTCTTATGTCCTCCCCTCTAACTAACCTGTCTGCTCTAACACTGCGTTCAGGCCTGCTCACCCGCAGCTCCACCTGTCCCCTTCTGCCGCACTGGCGTGCCAATGGCCTTGTCCGTTCTGCTCCCTGGACGCTGCTCTACTCTCAATGTCTCAAACTCGCCAGCATTGCTCTCACCCCTCCAGCCCTTGCCTGTGCTGTTCCCGCTGCCTGGAACACCCTTCCATACCATCTTTATGGGCTAACTTTTATTTTGCTTTGGGTATCATTTTAAATGGTACGTCTGCAGAGAAACTTTATTCAATCCTTTCTTCAAATTATTCCTTTAGTGTCTGCTAGACTGGGAATTCCAGGGTGGAAGAAATTAGCTTTTTATTGTGCACTGCTGAATTTCCCCCTTGTCTGGGAAGTTCCCCTCAGACCTTCTTGGGGGGCAGGGAGGTACCCTCTGGGTTCCCCTGACCCAGCGCTGAGCACTCTGGGTCGTCACTAACTGGGGATGAGTCTGTCTCCCCTACTGGACCGTGAGTGCAAGGAGGTGAGGGCAAGGCTGGGGCTGTCTCAGTCACCGTTGGGTCCCCTGGATTGCCCAGCACCGGGCCAGGCACAAGGTAGGTGCTGATGTTTTGTTAAATAAATGGATAACAAAGTGTCCCTGCCCTGCTCAAGCCTTCCCCCAAAGCCTCATCCCTCCTAGCCCCTATCACTCTTCCTAGAGAATGGACGCCCTTTGTACACCTGCCACACACCCATGGTGGAGCTGGGGACCCATATGGTGCATGCTGACCAGCGGGTGGCTTACCTGGCTGATTTAGCAGCCAAACACCTTGGGTTGGAAGAAACACTTGGCTAAGCCCCTGGGATTCGGGGGAGTGGCGAGACCCCAAGAGTATCCTTGAATATCAACTGTGGCAGAAACTGCTGGATGGCTCCCAACATCTCTTCTTCCTCTCTTTCTTTAGTCACAACCCCCCATGTTTTAGCTAGACATATCGTTGCCTGGGATACAGACTACATTTCTAGCATCTCTTGCAACTAAGTATGGCCAAGTGACTAGCTTCCAGCCAACGGGATATGAGCAACCTTGATGTTGGCCTTTAAAAGGAAGTCATTTTTGTTCCCGTTCCCCTTTCTCTGGTTTATTGGGGGGAATGCAGATGTGATGGGAGCCACCCTAGTCCCATGGTGGGACCACACCCTAGTGATAAAGGAACAACTAGAAGCCTGGATCCCGGCACCATGGAGCCACCATATGGTCCCTCAACTGTTTATGCCAGACTATTATGTAAGAGAAATCAATCCTCATCTCATTTCAGACTCTGTTATTTTGGGTCTTTGATAGAGCATCAGAATCTGAATCCTAACTAATATGATCTCTCCTGACCTCGAGCGATCCTCCCGCCTCGGTCTCCCAGAGTGCTAGGGGCCACCACGCCCAGCCATAACTAATATGATCTCTGTTAAGGACTGTACTGAATCCCCAAAATTCATATGTTGAAGCCCTAAGCCCTAGGACCTCAGAATGTGACTGTACGTAGAGATAAGGTCTTTAAAGAGGTGATCAAATTAGAATGAAGCTGTTAGGGTGGGTCCCAATCCAATCTAACTGGTGTCCTCATACGAAAGGAAGGTTGGGCACACGGAGAGATGCCAGGGGTGTGCACACGCAGCAGAAATGTGAGGGCAGAACGAGAAGGTGGCCATCTGCACGTCAAGGACAGGCGCTTCAGAAGAAACTCAACCTGCCAACACTTTGGTCTTGGACCCCAGCCTCCAGAACTGTTAGGAAATTAACATCTGTCCTTTAAGCCACCCAGTCTCTGGCAGCCCAAGTAGTCTAAGATAGTCTATAAACTACCTTCTAAGGAGGATGGGACTGGTTACCCTCAGGGCTTTGTTTTTCTGGTTCAGGTATGAAAGTTCAAGTCCAGAGCTTGAAGGCTCATTAAAACATAAGTGAGGTTGAAGGCCGCTATGAGAGACCACTGCCTTTCCCAACGCATGATAAACACGTGTCTCATGAACATCTGTGGGAAGGCATAGTCGACGACAAAAAATGGCGGCAACAGCTTATAACTCCTCCCCTTTAAGAGGCGGGGCCTAGTTCCCTCCTATAAAAGCTGGGCAGGGCATGTGACTTGCTTTGGCCAATAGAAGGCGGCAGAAATGATGACGTGCAAATTCTGAGCCTGGGCCCCAAGGGACCTTGCGGCTTCTGCTCTTGCTCTTCTTCCTTTGCTGGGTGAGCCTGCTGGAGAATGGCAGCCTTGGTGGCCCAGTCAGCTCCATCACCCCAGCCACCAGCCAGGCCACTGCCAGGCATATGAAACAGGCCATTCTGGACCAGCCGGCGCCCGGGCACCCCCCAGCTGACCACAAGAACCGTCCTGCAGTATTGTGAGTGAAATAAATGGTTGCTGTATTTTAAGTTTTGGGGTATCTTGTTGGGAAGCGATTGATTACTGGCGTGCAATATGTCCTGACGGGCCCTGCTGGGGTCCGGCGGGTCTGCTCTCTGAGCACTCAGTCCCTCCCACCATGGGCCCTACTCACTTCTGACATGGATCCGCTCCGTTGCACTCCTGCGTCCCCTGCTGGTTTCCAGCACCACCGTGTAGCTGCCCGAGTCCTGAGCCGTCACATTTCTGATGACCAGGCTGCCTTGGGTGTCCAGCATCTCCCGGCCAGTGTGAGCGGGTCCTGGGAGGCCCTCGGGGGAGAATATCATGGCTGCGGGCTGGGCTTCATGCCCTCGGAACCACGAAGTGGTGAGGACGTCATCCAGGCTACCGGGGACAGGCAGGTGGACACTGGCTCCTTCGGTCAAGGGATCCAATTGCGCGGAGAAGGGCAGCTCGGGGGAGGTAGAACAGGTGCAGGAGGCGAGCAGGGTGCCTTGGAGGCGGTGGGAAGGAGGAAGAGACAGCAGGGAGAGCAAATGAGACCAAAGGCAATATTCTGCCCCACAAGTCCAGTCACCCTTCCCAAGCAACTGAGTGTGTGCTTGGTGTATCAAGAGTTGATGATAACAACAATGATAATGATAAAAGCAGAGTCAAAAATAACAGAGCACATTCATCGATTGATTGAGCATCTACTGCAAGCTTGCCATGGTCTTTTTTTGTTTGTTTTGGAGACACGGTCTCACTTTGTTGCCCAGGCTGGGGTGTGGTGGCATGATCATAGCTCAGGCCCAGGCTGGTCTCGAATTCCTGGCCTCAAGCAATCCTCCCACCATGGCCTCCCAAAGTGCTGGGATTGTAGGTGTGAGCCACTGCACCTGGCCCCACCAGTGTTCTAAGTTCTGGACGTGTATCAACTCATTGATTCCTCACATCTAACCTGCTAATCACACATTTATATTATGCTGGTTGTTGCCAACAGCTGCTTCCCACTTCTGTGCTCTGTTGCCTGAAAGGCTGTCTTCTGTGAGCTGCATTGTTGGGGGTCCCTTGCCTTTTGCTGCTGGTTGGCTTCTGCCAGTGGGCATGTTGGTAGAAGACAGGAAGGTAGCAGGGGAGTGAGCTTAGTGATTAGACCTGAAGTTCCCTCCCCCATAGTCACCAAGGGTTGGCTGTGTCCTTCTAGCTCCTGCTGGGCAGCCCTCTCCATATGTTATTCTCTTCTGGTTCTGGAATCTGCTCGTCCTCTTACACCTTCTAATCTGGGGGAAGTAACAGCTCCCTGCAGTTGCTAGCCCCTGGATGCTGCATAATTCCATGTTGTTCTACCTATGTCCTGCCTACACCTCTGCAAACAGTCCCTGTCTTAAACTCTCCTCACTACTCCCTTAGAGTAGACCATCTGTTTCTTGCCTTAACCATTACTAATATGACTGTGATTCCCCATTTATAGATGAGGAAACTGAGGCTCAGAGAATTTAAGACATTTGTCCAGGCTGTCATAGGTGGCAAACAGCAGAACTGTGATCCACACCCAGGCAGTCAAAATTCTCAGCCACTAAACTGTTCTGTTGAGTGTTCCCCCCATCCCCTGCCTTAGTTTCTCTCATTTGCTTTTATTAAAGTTTCATATTGTGATAGGGAACCAGCAGGCCCCATTTGATAAGACCCAAACCAAGGTCTCTGACAAAAGAGGATACAGTGGAGAAACTAGTAAAACCAAGATAGTAACTAAAACAACCTCCACTTGCCTTTGTTGCTCATTATACTCTGGTTATAATGTATTTGCATGCTAAAAAAAACTCTTGCTAGCACCATGACAGTTTACAATCACCATGACAACTGCAAGTTACACTATATGGTATAAAAGGAGGAGGTACCCTGATTCCTGGAACTCTCTGCCCCTTCCCCAGAAAAGTCATGAATAATCCACCCCTTATTTAGCATATAATCAAGAGGCAGCCATAATTTAAGTCCACTAGCAATGTATGGGGGCTGCTCTGCCTGTGGAGTAGCCTGCTTGCCACATTTGTTTAATAAAATTTTGCTTCCCTTTCCAACTTGAAGCTTGCACTTGGATTCTTTCCTACATGAAGCCAAGAACCCTCTTGGCCTTCAGGGTGAACCTCAGTTTTTGAGTCCACTTTCCTGTGTCAATATTGGTTGGAGCTTGGATTTGAACCCTTGGAGTTAGGGTCCACATCCCATTCCCTTACCCATTCCACTCTTCTGCCTCTCTCTGTAAGGATGTGGTAGGAACACACACCTTAGCCATGAAAGACTGAAAATTTTGACATAAAAGTGAAAAGAAATTCCTGCAAGGTTAAAACAAACCACTAACAAAGTCAAGAGAATAATGACATACTAGGGAAAATTATTTGTAACTGATATCACAAATAGCTCATTTCACTAATATATAAAGAGTTCCTGGAAATCAATAAGAAAAACGTCAGCAACCTAACAGAAAAATACACAAAGGATGTAAGAAGTTCATAGAAAAGAAAATGCAAATGTCCATTGATGAAGGGAAAATGCTCAGCTCTACTCATAGTAAGAGAAATGTAAATCAAAACAAGCCGAGGTAATACTTTTCACCTATCGGCAAAGATCCAAAAGTTTGATGACTAGTGTTAGTGACACGGAGGGCAACAGGAACTCTCACACTTTGCTGGTACAACCCCTGTCAAGGGCAATCTGGAAAGTCTTTCAAAATTGCAAATTCCCATATCCTTTGATCCTGTAATTAAATGTCAAGGACTGTATCCTATAGATACATTTTCACAGTACAAAATGACTGAGACATAGGGTTATTTACCACACTTTATTTACAATAGCAAAATACTAGAAATACCTAACTGTTTAGCAATAGTGAGCTGATTAAGTAAATTATGGTCCATTCACACGATGCAACAATACATCTATACAAAAGAATGTGCAAAAATTCATGAATTCTGTGAACCGAGACAGGAAAAGTCACCAAGGTGAATGGTTAAGAAACAAATGCAGGCTGCAGAATAGTCTCAGGGGTCCTCTAACTTTTTAAACAGGGGGCCGGTTCACTGTCCCTCAGACTGCTGGAGAGTGCGCACTGTGGGCCCGGGACAAGTCAGCTGCTAAACAGGACAGGCAGTGGTGGCAAAAACACCCAGTGGGCCAGATAAATGTCCTAGATGGGTGGCATGTGGCCTGCGGGCTGTAGTTTGAGGACGCCTGGTCTAGATGGTATGCCACCAATGGTGTAAAAAGGGAGAAAAGACCATATATTTGCATTTGCATAAAGAAACTTTAGAAACCTATGCAAAAACAGTGGTTTTCTTTGTGTGTCTGTGTGGTGGGGGGGTTACATGGGAAACCGACTAGGTGCAACAGAACAAAGACTTCAGTCAAGGCCTTTTTATATACCTTTCAGATTTCAACCATGGCATTGTAAAGCACATTCTGAAATCAGCTAAAACTCGAATTAAAGAGATGTGAGGGCCAGGCACGGTGGCTCATGCCTGTAGTCCTAGCACTCTGGGAGGCTGAGGCAGGAGGATCGCTTGAGCCCAGGAGTTTGAGGTTGCTGTGCGCTAGGCTGATGCCAAGGGCACGGGCACTTCGACCTCCATCGCTGAGCTTGTTCTGGCCACCCTCCCTAGGCACTTGCTATTATCAAGGTAGCATTTTGTGTTTGCAGAGTTGAAATTATATCATGTGTAACTTTTTTGCATTCTGCTTCGTTTTCTTCTGAACAATGTTTTGTAAACAACCCGCCATCCCTTCACCCCAATTGCAAACACTTTGTAAGCCACTTTCTAGAAGCTGATTGCTATTTATCCAATGGCAAAGCCAATCCCAAAGTAGACCTCTACCCCCAAACACCCAGCAACACACAGCAGGCCGTGTCTCTACCTCACAGCTAGAGCAGCCAAGTAGAAACTCTCCCACCTCATTATCTTTCCTTCTTCCCCTCTGCCCAGGGTCCTGAGTGGTCCCAGACTACAGGTCTAGAGGGAAGAAAGAGGGAAATAGGGAACAGGCCCACCTTGCCAGCCTGAGCTGGGTATTTAGCAAACCTTTGAACTCGGTGGAGTTTGGGGTTTTAAAAATACACAGAACAGGACTTTTAAGACCTAGAAAAGGAGGCAAGTCATTTATACTCTGAGAGGTAGATGTGTGTGGTCTCTGGAAAGTGTGGTCTGGGCAGTCAGACCATCTGGCTTCAAATTTTCATTGTGCTACGTCTAAGCTGTGTGACTTGGGGAGGGCACACAACCTCTCTGAGCCTCAGTTTCCTGCTCGGTGAAAGGGGAATCATACAGCCCCTGCCTCATAGGGTTGTGTTAAGAGTTACATGTCATGACATGAAAGCACTTAGAACAGGCAGGCATCTGAACGTACTCAGGCACAATGACTTCCTTTCACGACTGCTGTTATGATTTTATTATTGTTATTTTTGTTTACTGTTAGGTTGTGGGTAGCTAGGGTGAGACAGGGTGCTCTGGTAGAAAGGGGCTGAGCTGGAGTCTCGAATTCAGATTCTGCCCCTTGCCAGTCCTGCGACCTTGGCTAGGTGACCTCATCCCCTCTCTGCCCCTCACTTTCCTCCTTTGGAAACGGAGCCAGTAGCATCGCCTCTAGGTGCAGGGGTGTGTGGGGGAGGAGGGCGGTTCAAGAGCTCTCGAGGATTGGGTGCTTGGGCTGCATGGGTTTTAGGGGACCAGAGTCTGAACTCTGAGTGGGGGCAACTTTGATTCTGACGGAGACTCTTCCCTGGGGATACACCCTTCTTGTCCCCAACAAGCGGCACAGTCGCTCTCACGCACCTGTTAAAAGCACCATCTTCCAGGCAGGGCTGTGGCGGGAGCCGGCGTCCAAAGGACACCCCATGTCGCGTTTTGTCCGGGAACCACGCACAGAAGGTCTCCTCCTTGTCAAGAGTGAGGTTTTACGGAGGGTGCACGCCTGGCCCCGCCCCCGGCCCCGCCCCACCTCTGTCGGCCCCGCCCCACCTCCGTCCGGCCACACCCCCGTCCCGGGCTCCCACGCCTGGCCCCCAAGTCACCTCCAGGCCCCGTGGTGTGCGTGGGGAACAGGATGGGACGGAGTTCCTGGAGACGGGGCTCTGAGGTTTTGCTCTTCTCCCCTCAACCCACAATCCCCAGAGGGAGAACAATGAGATGGAAGGAGGGGCAGAATTCCCCGGCCCTGTCATCCACATCAAAAGCAAGCAGTGACCAAAGGTCATCTGGTAGGAAGGGCCCGGCCTCCTGCCGGTCTCCTGGCTTCCCTCCCAGACTCTGTGACTATCAGGTCCATAATAACAGTGTGTGCTCTGAAGTCAGAGGGGACATGGACAAGAGTGTTCATAACAGTGCCTGGTACATAGTAGGTGCTCAGCGAATAACGGTAGCTATTAAATTATTATTCTTAGTATCCAAGAAGTCCTGGAGGCATGTTCTGAATCTCTTTATCAGGACCTTGCTCAGACTATATCCTGAATTTTAGAATCTGGAAGGATAAGCCAGAAAAGCTCCTTTTTCACACCCTTCTTACTGTCCAGGCCCATTATTTCCTCCTCAAATTAATAATTCTATTGCTCAAACTATTAGCTGGTGTTTATTGAACACCAACTATATGCCAGGCACAGCACCAGCCCTATTAAAATTGTTGAACTGAATTCTCCCAGCAACCTCTAGGGGAAGGTATGATGGGGTTCATTTCCCAGGGGTGGACTCCCCTAACATCACAGTAACTTTCTGTCGGCTCTTGGAGGGAGCCACCCCAGGGCCTTTGCACTTGCTGTTCCCTCTTCTTATAGCCCTACACGAATCGTCTCAAGTCTGACTGTACCTCATTAGTCTGGCCTCAATTCACGTATCATCTCCTCAAAAGGGCCTTTCCTGAGGCCTCCTGCAACCCAAATCCAGCTCCTCGCCAGCAAGCCACACTGTTTTGTTTGGTCTGGTTCATGGCTGTGTCCTTCCAGTGACTAGAACAGTGCTTGGCACTTTGTAGGTGCTCAACACACTTTAAAAAAAAAATTTAGTGACTAGATGAATGAATGAGCAAGTGAGTGAAATGAGAGTGTTGGGATTTGAACTCCTGTCTGACTTGGAAGCTCCTGCTTTTTTTTTCTTCCAGAAGGGTCCAGGTTCCACCCAAGGCTCAAGGTCCACCTATGAGTCTCTAGTAACAGTCATCACCAGGTGACTTGATTATTTCTTTATTAGCATTTGCCAAACTGCTTCTTTAATGATTTTTCTGAATGCCTTGGCTGGGCTGATTAGCCAGGCCAGGAGACCATTGATAAGCAAATATTTGCAGCGTGTTTAATAACCGTCACGTGGATGAGGACTCTCAGGTTTCTGCTCAGCCAGCGTTGGCTCTCTTTCATTCAGGTAACAGCACCAGGGACTTCCTTCTAGAAATCAGTCTCCTCGTGGCTCCCGAAAGGCCAGGGCCCCAGGACTGGCCAATGAGAGCACTTCATCCCCTGACCACAATGACTGCTTAGGAACTGGGCACCCAGAGCAGGCCAGGCGGGAGCAATCCTAGGGCTTTTACTGAAGCTCTAGCAGGGGTCCTCAAACTACGGCCCGAGGGCCACATGCAGCCCACCGAGGACATTTATCTGGCCCGAGGGATATTTTTGCCACCGCTGCCTGTCCTACTTAGCAGCCGACTCGTTCCAGGCCCACAGTGCGCATGTGTGGAATGTGTGCCGCACTCTCCAATGGCCCTCCAGTGATCTGAGGGACAGTGAACTGGCCCCCTGTTTAAAAAGTTTGAGGACCTCTGTTCTAGGCGAATAAAACATTTTCTTTCTTCTGGGTTTGCTGAGCTGAAGGGATCTAAGTGTGGAAGGGACAGGGGACATCTGCCGGGGGACAACTTTTTACAATGAATGGAGAGGCTGTCTAGAAATGAGGGGAACACATAAGAAAGTGTAGCCAGCAGACAGAAAGGGAGATTTCTGATGACAACATTTCAACACCGAGAGTCAGGATTTTGTGTTAGGCCAGTCTGTGTGGCGCCATTGTTTTCCTTGAGCCAGTGTGATTTGGGATTCTGGTACTTGCCTCCAAAATAACTCTGATTGAAAGGAAAGAGGGAAAACAGAGTTTTGAGAGGATCTGACTCGGAGCCTAGCTGAGAAGGGAAACCACCTGGGCCAGAGACCCCCGGGGCGAAGGAGGAGAATGGAGCAAGTCAGTGTTGCTGAGAACTGCGGAACTCCGTCCCGATCTCTGCGCTGAGACATGGCCAGACTCAGGCAGGACTTCTGGTCGCATAAGGTCATGTTTTTAGGATGCCCCCAGCTCCCCATGAAAAAGCCCTGCCCTGAGAACTCTCAACTCTGCTGGACGAACTTACTGTTTGTTCTGTCAACATCTGGTGATATACCCCTAATTTCCCTTTCTTAATATACAAACACACACACACACACACACACACACACACACACACACACACACACATCTCCTACAACTCAGGAATGTTTCTCAAGGACCCTAAGGATTGAACCTGTTGTGCCAGTCTCTGTGGGAAGCTGGAATTCTTAACTACGACAATTGTCAGCTAAAAGACACGGCTGGCTGAATACCATTGCCACCCACTGAACTTTTATGATTTTTACTTGGGTCCCCGTCCTCTCCTCCTCTCTCATTCTCCCTTTCGGACAGACAGACAGACACTTCTGCACAAATGAGAACAAAGCTCAGCTGTTTCATCACCGCCAGTAGTTACTGAATATAATCTTTTTCACAACTTTAATGAATGTCCCACTTTGTTTATCGTGAACGTTTCCCAAACTTCAATGTTTCTCACACCACGTTTGTAATTTCTTCCATATGCACACAACACACACTTTTCTTTACTCAATATTTTTCTTTAGGCCGGGCGTGGTGGCTCACGCCTGTAATCCTAGCACTCTGGGAGGCCGAGGGAGGAGGATCACTTGGGCTTAGGAGTTCAAGACCAGCCTGAACATCAGTGAGACCTCGTCTCTATTAAAAATAGAAAAAATTAGCGAGGTATGGTGGTGTGTACCTGTAGTCCCAGCTACTCGGGAGGCTGAGGCAGGAGGATTGCCTGAGCCCAGGAGTTTGAGGTTGCTGTGAGCTAGGCTGACGCCATGGCACTCTAGTCCAGGCAACAGACGACAGAGCAAGACTCTATCTCAAAAAAAAAAAATTTTTTTTCTTTAAATATCCTCATTTATTTTTTTTTTAAATCCTATTCCTCATTGATAAAGAAAATATCCTAGTTTCTTTAAATATCCTCATTTATTTAAATATCCTCAACTAAAATAAGCTCAAGTCAGTTTTTAAACAATAACATCCAGGAAATTATAATATATACCAATATGCTAATTACATTTAAATGCAGATAAAAGTAAAAAGATGATGAAAATAAAACATGTCTGTCTATGTATCGTGTGGAATTTTTTGGTGTGTCACCAAAAGACCACGGGCCCCACTTGGAGGAAATAGTCATGACAATTGCTAACATTTATGGAGAACTCGACCCTAACCCCTGCCCTGCTCTCTGCATAGATTAGATTTACATATATTCGTTTATATAACTTCACACTTTTTATCTTCTTTATTCCTTCAACAACCCCACGAGGCAGGTGCTGCTCTTCTCCTATTGCAAAGAAGAAAACTGAGGCACAGAGAGGTTAAGTATCTGTATACTTTTAGAAATTAACTTTATTGAGGAATAATTTACATCCATTAAAATATTACCAAGTTAAATGCATATTTTGACATATTTTGACCTTGGAATCTATATCTATAATCAAGATATAGAACATTTCAATTACCCAACAAGATTCCTTTGTGCCTCTTTGAAGTTAATTCTCGACCCCAGGCAAACACTGATTTGCTTTTTTTTTTTTTTTTTTTTTTAAAAAAGATTTTCTTTAGAGTACGTTTTGAGCTTGGGACTTTAAACCTATAAGCCTATGATTCTATAAATTTAAGATCCTCTAAACACAATCTGGACGACTTCAACTACTGAGTGTGGGAGAGGCAAGGATGAGTGACACAACCAAGCTTGTGCCTTTGGAAAGACATTTCCCCCAGCCATGTCCCTGCCTAGTGAGTTGGGAAACCTGAAGCCAGTGTAGGGCACTGTAGCCTTGCCTCCGCCGTGCTCTTCCCTTTGCCTGGAGCGCCCTTTCTCCAACTGTCCAAAGAATAGCCAAAGTTTTCTGCTCTCAGCCCCAATTCCTCCTCTTGTAGAAGGAATGCTGATCGGAACCCTACCAAGTGTGCCGGAGAGAATAGTTCTGATAGTGCAGGATGTGCTACCCGGACCGGGGCACCCTCAGCCCCATCCTCCATTTGCCACCAAATTCTTCCTGTTGCTTGGCTCAGACCGTGTCATCCAGGCTGTGACAATATCAAGCTATCTTGCCGTGAATGATAAATGGAAGCTATTGTTATTGTTCCCTCTTGGCATGCCCTTCTTTGGAAACTGATACATGGCAGGGGGTGGGGGATTATGCCCCCTCGATCTAGTTCTTACACCCCCTTCTCATCCCATGAGGCTATGGACCAGTATCAGGGCTACGGGCCTCTCCCAGCTGCACGGCAGCCACTTACTGTGCTCTGTGTGGTGGCGCCCCCTGGCGGTAGAGGTGTGTATTTGGGTGAGGACAACGGCGGGATGGCAGCTTGTCTAGACGTAGGTGCAAAACCGAGCCTCCATAGGGGGTGGGGGTGCGGGACATCAGGACCCACCCCATCTACAGCTCCTGGGGATCACAGCTAACACTCCCTGTGGCTGCCATATGGGAGGAATGGAGTGTTGATTAATGTTGGCTTCTAGCTGGGCAGGACAGGGACTTTGCCCCAGCTGAGGCCAGGATTTTATCAAGAGTTTTGATAAGAAGGGGCAAAGCTGGGCTTGAAGCGGAGATTAACTGCTCTTTGGCCATGCCTGCTCCCCAGAACGCCATCTGCCCCAGGTGAGCGACCCACTGTGGATTGTTTTTGGTGGAGTCAGTTCTCCAAACATGTCAGGAAGCTTTACAGATTAGAGACCCTCAGGGGCTGAAGGTTTAGGACGCCTACTATCTCAGCAGAAGGAATGAAGTTTTGGAAGAGATACCTCTGATATCCATGCCCTATTCTCCCTTGGTAATTAATATAAACCTAGATTTTTCAATGGACATGTGGGGAGCCCAGCAAAAATGCCCTGGAGCTAAGTGTGGCCATGTGACTACCTTTTGGCCAACAGATAAAAGTAGAAGTGTTGTGTGGGACTTCTGGGAACTGACCTTAAAGAGAGTTTTTTAAAACCTCTTCTTCCTTTTCACTACTAACTGGAATGTGGCTATGATGGCTGGAGTGCCAGCAGCTAGTTTGGACCACAGTTATATACCAAAATTAGGCTGTTCTTTTTTTTTTATTGTTGAGTTTTAGTAGTGGTACCAATCCCTTATGAGATGTGGGATTTGCAAATGTTTTTTTCCCATTCTGTGGGTTGTGATTTTATAAATCGCATATATTTCAAGTGTAGAATTTGACGAGTCCCACATATGCACTTTTGAGATCATCACTGCAGTCAGATACTGAACATATCTGTCCCCCCAGATTCCTTGAGCCCCTTTCTACTGACCCTGCTGTTGTCTGCCTCTGTCCCAGGCAACCACTGCTCTCCCTTCTGTTACTATAGATGGTCTGAATTTTCTAATCTTTTATATAAACAGAAGCACACAGCCTGTACACTTGGCTTTTGCATGGCTTCATTTACCCAACATAATTATATTTTGAGTCATCCGTATTGCTGTGCTATCAAGAGTTTGTTCCTTTTTATTACTGAGCAGTAGTCCGTTATCACAATGGATGGGTCACACATTGTTTATCCATTCTTTTGTTGATGGACTTCGGGGTTGTTCCAGTTGTAGGAAGCCGGGGATGCCCTGTCACGAGCACTGTCGCATCTGGTCTGGGCCATTACAGTCACCTGCTGGCTGGTCTCCTTGTTCCTGCCCTCATCCTGCTGCAGGTCTTTCTCCCACAGGGAGCCTCAGGGATTCTGTTAAAACCTAGATCATATCTCGTCCTTTCCATGCTCAAAGGCTTCTTGAGGTTACTGTCTCACATAGAGTCAAAGCCCAAGTCCACCATGACTTTGTAAACCACACCCACAGTCTCCCGTCCCTGCTCCCCTTAGCTCTTTGTGCTCACCTCCTAAAAGGGGAAAATTGCTGGTAGACCTGAGAAAATTAACCCATCTTTGCCGGGTTCTGAATGTCACCGAGATCCTGCAGGGCGGGTCTGGGAACCAGTCCCTCCTGGGGTGGGGTGGTGAGTTTGTGGTCATGCATGGAGGTGTTGCTGTCAGCACAGATGTTACTGGAACCATGCGGGTCATGGTTTGTTTTCTGTTGCTTATAACAGAATACCTGAAACTGCATAATTTATAAGGAAGAGGAATTTATTTCTTGCAGTTATAGAGGCTGAGAAGTCCAAGGTGGAGGGGCTGCATCTGGGGAGGGCTTTTCTTGCTGGTGGGGACGCTGTAGAGTCCAGAGGCAGCACAAGGCATCGCATGGTGAGGGGCTGGACATGCCAGCTCAGGTCTCTCTCCCTCTTCTTTTTTTTGAGAAAGAGTCTCGCTCTGTTGCCTGGGCTAGAGTGCCATGGTGTCAGCCTAGCTCACAGCAACCTCAAACTCCTGGGCTCAAGCGATCCTCCTGCCTTAGCCTCCCAAGTAGCTGGGACTACAGGCACGCACCACCATGCCCGGCTAATTTTTTTCTATTTTTAGTTGCTTGGCTAATTTCTTTCTATTTTTAGTTGCTTGGCTAATTTCTTTCTATTTTTAGTAGAGAAGGGGTCTCACTCTTGCTCAGGCTGGTCTCAAACTCCTGAGCTCAAGCAATCCTCCCGCCTCGGCCTCCCAGAGTGCTAGGATTACAGGCGTGAGCCACCGCACCCCGGCCTCTCCCTCTTCTTATAAGGCTACTAATGCCACTCTCTCGTGGTAAGCCATAAACCTATGAATGGATTAATCCAATCACCTCTTAAAAGCTGTACCTTTCAATAGTGCCACACTGGGGATTAGATTTCTTGAACATGAGTTTTGGAGGGGACAAACCCTGTAACCATAGCAATATGCTTTCTAGAATTAATAGGAGAATGGTTTTTAAAGTTCAGTTTTTCTCTCCCATCCTCGGTTTGTGTGCCCTCATCCAAAATTTAACACATAATACCAAGTTGACAGAAGACAACCCTTCTATTTCCTTTTCTCCTCTATTTCCTTCCATCAAAGAAGAGCCATGAGGCAGAGATCATTTTAAAAAATGCAAACTCTTAACAAAAACAAAAAAATAAAATAAAATAAAAAATGGAAACTGAAATGTTAGCCAATTTTTTTGGTAGGAGTATTGTGGGGAGGTGGGTGTTATTGATGAGATGTTGGATTCTTGTGTTTCAGGGCCCGTGTCACAAGCTGTGTTGGTAATTCTCTGTTTGTCCCCCAGGTCTGCTCTCTGATATTCACCCTTCTCCTCCCCACTTTGTGTCTCGGGAGGCTGTCTGTATTAGTTATGTATGACTAATTACTCCAGAACTGGAGGTGGCTTAAAACAGTCAAACATTTGTTATCTCATAATTTCTTTGAGTCAAGAATATGGGCTTAGCTTCTCCATATCCCTTCTCTCTGATGCAGTCAAGCTGTTGGCTGGGGCTGCAGCGTCATCTGAAGGCTCAACCTGGGATGGCGGCAGTGAGCAATCCTGCTTCCAAGCTCACTCAGGTGGTGTCAGCAGGCAGCTTCCCCCACGTAATGTCATTTAAAAGAGAGCAAGGGAGAGGTCTAACATGGAAGCAACAGTCTTTCTGAAACCCAGTCTCAGAAGTGACAGCCACTACTTCCTGTTGTATTTTATTTATGAGAAGAGAGTTATTAGGACAGCCCATACTCAAGGCGAAGGGATTATAAAAGAGATTAGACTCTCAGGAGGGAGGGATCATTAGTTCTGGCAACTTCTCCACAGTGAAGAAATTGCAACAGACTTGCAACATACACGCCTTTAACCTTTGAACACTTGGGTGGAGAAAGGGCTCTAGTTCTAGGCAGCTGCTCCATCTACTGCCCAACTATGAAATTTTATTTTGCAGACATGCCCTATTGGACACTGAGCATTTCTATACACAGGTGTGCATACATCTATTGCTGTACAGCATTATACATGCAAACCCACATACCTGCGTAGGGGACTTAAGAGGCATTCAAGGCTAACTTGGACTATCCACAATTTCCACCTTCATTCCTGAAGAATGCTTTCATTGGATTCAAAATTCCGGATGGACAGTTCTTTTCTTCCAGCTCTTTCCAAATGTGCCAATTTCTTTTGGCCTGCATGGTTCCTGATGAGAAATCTGCCATCATTTGAATTGTTGTTGAATAAGTAACATGTTGTTTTTCTTTGGATGCTTTCAAGATTTTTTTCTTTGTTGTTTTTTTCCACCATAGTTTAACGATGATGTGTCTGGGTGTGGGTTTGTTTGCAAAGGGTCCCCGACATCATACGATGAGCTATGAGTGTGCCTGCATTTTCCAAGGGAGGGTCTGCAGTTTCAATCCCGGATCCCACAACTTTCAGTGCATTTGCAAAGGAGTCCAGGCCTGCGTGGTCATCTGTAACCAGTGACCTCTAAGTTATTAGAGATGGCCAGAAGGCTTGGGGAGCTCAAGGATAACTGGCCAGATTTGATCAACTATTGTATTCTGTGTAAACTTCCTTAAAATTATTTGGCCACTTGTGGGGTCCTGCCCACTTGACTAGAACGTCACTGGGGATGGGGAGCCCCCATCCTTAGAGGGGTCATTGCTGGCATTGTGCTTGGGGTGTTGGTCGGTGTGGTTCTGACCTGGGCTATTTCCTGGGGTTCATGATAGACCAGGTCATCATGCTTTTACTTTTCTCTGAAAGAAGGGCTGGGCTCCTACCTCTGCAGGAAGGTTGTGTGTGTGTGAGGGGATCTCTGGACGGGATAAGGGTAAGGAACGATGAACCAGATTCTCGCGTATTCTCTCCACTCTGATGGATTTTAATGGTGGGCAGATTGGCAGAGGCTAGACTGTAGCAGCCTTGAACGCCAGGCTGAAGGTATCAGACCTCACCTTGTGAGGCATGGGAGACCTAAGAGTGCTCCCTGCCCGTGGGAGACATTGCCACTCCTCAGGACCTGGTGGAAGTGCTCCTGGGGATGTAGGGTCACAGGAACCTCAGACATTGCTGTTGGGAATATAGATGGGGACAGCGACTGTGGGGGACAACCTGGTAGGACTTAGGCAAAGTAAGCATGTGCATGACCTAGGACCCAGAAATTGTCCTCAGGGGTGTATACCCCAAAGAAATGTTCCCACCGTCCAGAGGTAACGTAAACAAAGGTGTCCGCTGTGGACATCCATTAGTGGGGCTTTTATAGGCGAAATGGTAGGTTTACACAGTGGAGTATTTTAGAGCAATTAGAATCACTGTTTCTATATATAACATTACAGTTGAATCTTAAAAACATGAGGGTGACTGGAAAAAGGTAGTGTATGTTGAGGGAGCTTCCTTGTGATCAAACAGTTCTGTTGATCATGGTGATAAAATTTGATAGTACAGTATATACACATATGTATACAAGTGCATATCGAAGCTGGTGAAATACAAATTGTGTTTATTTTAGTTAATAGTCTTGTACCAATGTCAATTATCTGGTTTTGATTAGGGGAAGCTGAGTGAAGGGTACACAGCTTGGCGAGGGGAGGATATCTCAGCTGGTGAAGCTTCTGGAAAAGTTTACTCCTTTGAAGCATGGCTGAGAAAGGATGTTTCTATTCCCGTGATGCCAGTGGACTTCATGAGTTCAATGAAATACCATCTGTGAGCTGATCTTTTGTCTGCTTTCTGTATTGCCCTAGGAATTTAAGGAGTTATGGCAACAGGTAAGGTATAGGAGCTGCAGGCATACAGGATGGTGTGTGTGTGTGTGTGTGTGTGTGTGTGTGTGTGTGTGTGTTTGTAGGGGTTCTTGGTCATAGATTCTGCAACATTCCTTCTCATTGTGCTTTTCCTACATAGTGGACACAAAAAGTCAATGGTGCAAAACTCAGCTCTATAACCCTGGAGAAAAAAAAATACTTCCCTGTCCCCTCTGGGACAGTGGGCCTCAGTTTCCCCATATAGAATAAAAGGGAGCTAGGCTAGGATCTCTTTTTAAATGGAGTAGTCATTTTGAGTATCCTTCTCAAAGTGAGTTTTACAAGTTGTACCACCCTCTAAGACAAACGACACAGTCCCCATAAACTCTAGGCTTCCGAAAAAAAAGGGCTTTGATCACCAGGCGTTCCAACAAACATTTCTAGTGGTGACGATGATCACCAGGTGTTCCAACAAACATTTCCAGTGGTGACGATGGCACAGGGTACCAGGTGGGATGCATCCGTCTGCAAACAAGATGCACTGGATCTTGGAGCAAAATTCATCCTTGTTATTTTACAAGATGCCCTGGGTTTATTCCGTGGCTCAGGGAAATCCCAACATCCATCCTTTCATCCAATATCCTCCCGAACTTGCTACTTCATGGTCTCAAGATGGCTGCCTGGACTCTAGACTTCCCTGCCTTCGGGTCATGTCATTGTGATGGGCAAACTGACGGCCCCTCCAAAGATGCCCATGCTCCTGTCCCTGGAATCTGTGAACATGTGGCATTAGGAAAGCAAAAGTGACTTTGCTGATGTACAGATGTCAAGATAGGAAGATGATCCTGCATTGTCCAAGTGAGCCCAGCCTAGCCACCCAAGCCCTTCAGAGCAGCAAGAAGCAGAAGGGAGATCCCAGTCGTGAGAAGGGTTCGGTGCACTGTCGCTGGCTCTGAGAAGCAGGGGCTCAAGTGCAAGGGCAGGAGAGAGGGCTCAGAAGGTAAAGGCGGGCCTTAGCTGACAGTCAGCGAGCACACAGGGCCCTCAGCCTCCCAGCTCCAAGGAATTGGATTCTGCCAACAATGCAAATGAGGGCTTGGAAGTGGGTTCTTCCCAAAGTCCCCCATTACGAGCACAGCTGGGGACACTTTGATTTCCAACTATGAGGCTCAGAGCAGAGAATCCAGATGAACCAGCTTGGACTCCTGACCTATAGAACTGCAAGGTGATACATTTTTTTTTTGGAGACAGAGTCTCACTCTCTTGCCTGGGCTAGAGTGCCGTGGCGTCAGTCTAGCTCACAGCAACCTCAAACTCCTGGGTTCAAGTGATCCTCCTGCCTCAGCCTCCCAGGTAGCTGGGACTATAGGCACGCACCACCGTGCCTGGCTAATTCTTTTCTATTTTTAGTTGTCTGGCTAATTTCTTTCTATTTATAGTAGAGATGGGGTCTCGCTATTGCTCAGGCTGGTCTCGAACTCCTGAGCTTAAGCAATCCTCCTGCCTCCTCCCAGAGTGCTAGGATTACAGGCATGAGCCACCACGCCTGGCTTGTTTGTGTTGTTCCTGGCTTGGAAGCTTGTTTAAGCTTTCAAGTCTCTGGTAATTTGTTATGGCAGCGGTAGGAAATGCATACAGTTATTTCAATGCAGGGAGCAGGGGATGGTGCCTTGGAACTGCATCCATTTATTCAAAAGTGGATGCATGCTTGGAAACCTCCAGATGTCTGTATGTTTCACCCCCTCACCTCCTTCAAGGTGTTGCTCAAAGCTCTGTGGGGCCTGCCCAGACCACCTGGATCCGTACTGCATCCTGCATGTCCACCCTGGTCCCCGACCCTGCTTGCCGCAGCCCCCTGGTTCTCATCCCCTTCTAACATCACAGCGATGTTATTTCTCATGCATCGTGTTTGTCATCTGTCTCCCTCCTGCTGTTCCCCCACTGCATAAGATATACTGTCTATAAGGGCAGAGATCTATTTGTTCCATTTGCTGGCATGCCCCAAGCACCTAAAACAGTGCCTGGCATATAGTAGGGCCATAGAAATCTTTGCTGAGTGAACGGACTGAGCAGGGGGACAGACACAGGAGGCAGTCTGGGTTCTGCGGTCAGGTGCAGTCCTGCATGGGAAGAGTTCCAGCCAGCCTGTGTGGCCGAGACTCTCCAGGTGAGGGTGGGGAGTGGGAGGGACCTGGGATTATTTTTACCTGTTGGAAATAATAGTGGACGTTGTGCTACAGGGAGAGGCCCAGAAAGCCCCTCTCTCTTGTTGGGGCAGAAAAAGACAGAAGCTGCCCTGGGGGATGGGTGGGTGGGGATTTCTGGAGAGAAAACCCCGCTCCTGCATGAGTGACAGATTTGGGAAGTGCACTCCGGTGGCAGCTCTGCCCTCTTGGGCAGGGAGGAGGGGCAGGATGGGGTAGAGGCAGTGGGGAGAGAAGCCCCCCCTCACCCACGAGGAGAAGGAGGGGCTGGCGCAGAAGATTCAGAAATTCTGGGCAGAAGGGGGTGTGGGACGGAGGCCTTGAGTGCTGGGCTGGGTCAGGTGCCCTCAGCATAGGGAACCATAGAGGGTGGGGGCATGGTGGGGTGACACAGCCACAGGGTTCATTGATCGGCGTGTACACAGGAGCTAGGCCATGGTAGGACCTTGACTCTCATGGAGGCAGAGAGCCAGGCAGACCGGAATCCCTGGTCTGAGACACCCTGTGACTTTATCCAAGTCATCACTGCTCTCTGAGCTTCTGTGTTTTTATTTATTGTATTTTATTTTATTTTATTTTATTTTTTGAGACAGAGTCTCGCTTTGTTGCCCAGGCTAGAGTGAGTGCCGTGGCGTCAGCCTAGCTCACAGCAACCTCAAACTCCTGGGCTCAAGCGATCCTCCTGCCTCAGCCTCCCAAGTAGCTGGGACTACAGGCATGCACCACCATGCCCGGCTAATTTTTTCTATATATATTAGTTGGCCAATTAATTTCTTTCTATTTATAGTAGAGACAGGGGTCTCACTCTTGCTCAGGCTGGTTTCGAACTCCTGACCTCGAGCAATCCGCCATCCTCGGCCTCCCAGAGTGCTAGGATTACAGGCGTGAGCCACCGCACCCGGCGGCTTCTGTGTTTTTAACTATGGGATGGAATTATGATATCCTTTACTCTACTCTCCTTTTCACTTTTCCATAGCAGGCCTCACCATCTGACACCCCATACAATGTGCCTATTTCTTATTGTCCCTCTCCCCACTAGGACAAGGTCTTCTCTGTCTTGTTCCCTGCTCTGTCCCCGGCACCTAGAACAGGTGCGCTAGGTGCTCGGGAAGCACGTGTTGAATGACGGTAGGGCAGTGCGGGCTGCTATACTGGAATACCGCAGACTGGGTGGTTTAGAAACAGCAGAAATTTATTGCTCACCATTCTGGAGACGGAAGATTTGAGATCGGGGTGCCAACATCACTGGGTCCGGGCCAGGGGCCTCTTCTGCATTGCAGACCACCATCCACTCCTTGTATCCCCCCATGGTAGAAAGACAGCCAGAGAGCTCTCTGGGGTCCCTTTTATAAGGGCACCAATCCCAGCAGGAAGAATCTAATTACCTCGCAAAGGCTCCACCTCCTGAAACCATCACACTGGGGGTTGGGGTTGCAACCTCTCAGTTGGTGGGGCGGGCACAAACCATGACCCAGTGAGACTGTTGTTTACCTCAGTCTCCAGATGAGGACCTGAAGCCAATGGAGGGCGACATAACTTTCCTAACAGACCACAGCCAGGGCGCGGGGAACTGGGAGGCCGGCCCAGGTGGTGGGACAGCCACACGCTTGTAACCACAGAGGCAAAGCATCGTCATGTCCATTTCAGAGCTGAGCAAAGTGACCGCTAGAGAGAGGAGTCCACCTGCCTGAGGCCACATAGTTGGCAAGTGGGGGAGTCAGGATTCGAACTCATGCAGTCTGGTTCCAGACCCAGCTGGCTTGGCCTGGCCTCATGCTTTTCTGGGGGCAGATGGTTGGTGGCTGTCTGTAGCAGGAATGAGACCCAAAGCAGGGACAGCAAGACGAGGCCACTGGCTGAGTCAAGATCTCTTTCCTGCAATGCCGAGCTGCCCCTCACGCCCTAAGCGATAGTTCCAGATCGTCAAAACTCATCTTGATCCACCCCTCCTCTCTCACTCCCCCTCTCTATTCTGAGCCACCGAACTTCCTTTGGTGCCTCAAACTCAGCAACTCTTCACATGCTGCTCCCTGTGGCTGCCGGCTACATCCTCCAGGTCTCAGCTGCGATGTCCCCTCCTCCAGGAAGCCCTCCTCGATCCTTGGGCAGTGCCAGATGCCCCCTCTGCATTAGCCCAGCCCAGCCCTGCCCACTCGGGTTGTCACTGTCTGGGGACAGGACTGTGTTCTCCACTGGACTGTGATTCTCTGTGAGGACAGGGTCAGGGCTGCCTTCGTCACTGCTGTGTCCCAAATACTTCCAGGAACAGCGATCAGCACAGGGGAGAATTCAGGGAGTGTTCATTAAGTGAACAAATGAGTGAATGAATGAATACATGGATTAATGGTCATTCCCTCACCCGATCTTGGTCTGTGTGCTCCCAAAGACCTACAGCTTGTCTTGCTCATAGAGAATTAAAAAAAAAAAAGGAACTATCATATATTGAACCTTTCCTGTGTCCTCTATCTTAGCTTAGATGTCCCCTCTTCCAGGAAGCCCTCCCTGCTCCGCAACCCCCCGAAGCTGTGTCAGGCTCCCCCTGGGCTCTCCCAACCCAGCTCAGTCTGTGCTTCCCGCCTGTCTGACTCCAGAGCCTTAGTTTATGACCAGGATCCACAGGACAGGAGTCATGTCAGCTCATTTAATACTTATAGGTTGCTCGAAGTGAGCTCGGCATGGGCCTGGCTTTACTAAGTCCTCGATAACCAGGAGCCAGCTGTTACTGTTTTTATTGCATTGCTATTGACCATCGCAATCTCAGTTCCTGGTCCCCAGGCTTCCTGGAGTTCCTGCTCCCCGTGCTGGGCACAGAAGGAAAGTGAGCCCTGGGAGTGGAGGGCAGGGGTGGGGCCAAAGTGACTTCCCTGCCACCACCCCTGTCTGTCCTGGGAGCCACTGTCACTGCAGTGTGAGTTTGCAGCAGGGCGGGAGGGGAGCGAAGGGAGGTACAGGGGGCGCTGCCGGAGTGAGGACTGTGTGTGTGTGCGAGCCAGGGCGGCACAGGCTGGCATACTGAAGCCGGGTGCCAGGACCCATGGAGCCCAGTGACTTATGGGGACACTGGACAGGAATCCTGCTCTCAGGTGAGTGCCCTTCCTTAAGACAGGGGTGGGGTGGGGGTTGGGGGGTCGTGTATCTATTTGCTAGTGACGTGTGCGTGTGTGCACGTGTGGAAAGAGAGAAGCAGAGAGAGAAATAGAGGCAGAAATAATGACAGCTAGAAAAGAGACTGACAGAAGGAGACATAAACAGAGACTGGAGACAAAGAGACAAAGACACACACACACACACACACACACACACACACACACACACACAGTGGGAGACGGAGTCCGAGCCACAGAATCAGAGAGACCCAGAGACAGAGAGTGAAAATAGCATTAGAAGCTGTGCAAGGGAAGAACAGGGAGAGATGGCGGGAAGGACAGAGCAGGAGACAGAGGACAGAGAGACAGTGAGAGACTGTATAAAGAGACACACAGAGAAACAGAAGGATTCTGAGTTGGGGCTGGGGTGGGGAGACAGAGACCCAGAGAGACAGGTCATAGCAGAGACAGACAGACAGACAGACCTACAGGAGTGAGACAGGCAGAGGGAGGATGTACCAGCCCTGAGGGGCAGGTCCACATGTCAGGATGGGGGACAGATGTGAAATTTATGCCTAAAGGGCCTCTGAGACCAAAGGGAGAAACTAGATTTTTTTATTTTTTTGAGACAGAGTCTCACTCTGTTGCCCGGGCTAGAGTGAGTGCCGTGGCATCAGCCTAGCTCACAGCAACCTCAAACTTCTGGGCTCAGGAGATCCTCCTGCCTCAGCCTCCGAGTAGCTGGGACTACAGGCATGCACCACCTTACCCAGCTAATTTTTTCTGTATATATTAGTTTGTCAATTAATTTCTTTCTATTTATAGTAGAGACGGGGCCTCACTCTTGCTCAGGCTGGTTTCGAACTCCTGACCTCGAGCGATCCGCTCGGCCTCCCAGAGTGCTAGGATTACAGGCGTGAGCCACTGTGCTTGGCTTCTGGGAGAGTTTTGAGCTGTGCTCGCAGGTTTCTCTTCAAGGTTTGCCTCCTCCTGGTGGGACAGAGGCAGGACCCTCAGGAAGGAGGTGGGAGGGAGAGGGCCGGGGGTGGCTTCCCATCTTAGGCAGGTGTGACACTGCCCCCTGTTGAAGCTGTCACTCACATCATTTCATTTATCCTTGTGACTGTTATGTGAGGCTGGAATTCTTGTTACCCCCCCAAACTGAGACTCCAAGAACATCACTTGCCCCAATAAATGGCAACGATGGGCTTCCAACCTAGGCAGGCAGGCTCTGAGCCGCCACCATCATCATCGTCATCACCACCATCATCATCATGATGGCTGAACGCTTACTATGAACTGTTTTAAGCATGTCCCATCCGACATGTCATTCAGCCCTCACAACAACCAGATGAGCTAAGTTCTGCCCCATTCTGCAGTCAAAGAAACTGAGGCTCACATCGAGAAAGCCCCTTGCCCATGATAATAGGGCCAGTAAGTGCAGAGTCCATGTTTGTTCCTAAGAACCTGTGCTCTTAACTACTGACTGGGCAGGGATTGGGGCAGGGCTTGGGCCAGATTGGGGTCTTTTGAAGAGTGCAGAGGGGCAAGGTGGCCGGCCTCTGTTAATCGGGCTCACAGGAAAGATGAGGGGGGATCGGGGTCAGCTACAAATGAGTGTGGCTGCTGGGTTTGGGCCCCTGACGCCCTGGGCCCACGGTCTTTCTCGCAGCTTCCGTAACTGTGTGCAAAAATGACCGGATGGAAAACTGGAAACCCCAGCTACCTTGTTCCCCTTTCCCATGCCAGGAAATCTTGCCCAAGGGCAATTCTAAGGAAGTACCAAAGGTTAATTTCTTCCACCAGCAATAGGAGTGGAAGTTCCCTTCCATCAGGGGCTGGGTCTGCGTGGTCCCTGTGCTCACAGCACAGCCTGTAGGGCCAGGTTCAAGTTTGCCGCTGACTGTATGGTCTTGGCAAGCGACTTCCCCTCTCTGCGCACCTATTTCCCTGTGTGGAACAGGAGGACCATCACGCGTCCCCAGTAGAGTGCACATCGTTGGGGAGAACACAGTGACGATCGGGGGCCCACTTAAAGTTTGCCAATATTCGTGACCACCCCCACGACAACCCAAGGACGCAGGTGATATAATGCCCATTTTACAGCTGAGAAATCAAGGCTCAGAAAGGAGAAAAAAAAACATGTCACAAGTTACCTGGCCAGTGAGTAGTGGGTAGGACTCAAGCTTCTAGGGATAGAATATCACATCTATGACTTCAGAGCTCCCTCCGCTCTGAAGATCGTAGTTGGGTGTCCCCAACACACCTCTCCCTCCCTGAATGCCTCCCCTCTTCCTTTCTAGCCTCCCTTTTGACTGTGTGGATTCCTCCAGCTTCAGCCCAGCCCACGCTCACTGCCATCCCACTCGACACCACCCAAGGTGAGAAGCGTGTCTACCTCTGGGACACCCTGGACACCCTAGAGTCATGGCAGATTCAATGGCGTGAGCACAGAAAATGAGACTGTCATTCTGATCTCTGCCTCCACGGAGATCCCCCATCAGGGTTCTACATCTAAACTCCCAAGAGGACAGGATGTGATGGCTCAGCTGGGGGCTGACAGCAGCTGGTGCAGTCAGTTGTGTTGGGGACAGGGGCGAAGGGGTGGGGAGGGTTGGCTGAGAAGTGGCATCCTTGTTAGGAGCTTGGCTCTCATGAATGCAGCTGATGCTGGCTGGCTCCGTGTCAGGCCCAGACCCTCTGTTTTCCTTGCACGGTCTCATCCAGTGGTGCCTGGAGAGCGGAAGTAAGTTGCCCAAGATCACACCTAGAATGAGCAGTAGATCCTGCATTTGAGCCCCGGTGTCCATTTCCATCGTGTCTTCTGGCCATTCCAATCCATTCCTGCTGCTCTGGGCCCCTCTGTGACAATGTCTTGTTTTTTCCTCCTCTGTCTGTGTTTTACCTCTGTCTCCTTCTCTTGCTTTCTTTCTCTGCAGAGCCACTGGCCAAGCCCACCGTTTCAATCAGCCCAGCCACTGCCATAGAGCAGAGGGAAATGGTGACCTTGTACTGTGACACCAGGGACACCAACGTTATCGTCCGCTGGGTCTTCAACGGCCTCTCCCTCGTGTTCCATGAGCGCCTGCAGCTATCCACGGACGGCAGGAACCTCACCATCCTCACCGTCCGGCGAGAGGACTCTGGGAGTTACCAGTGTGAAGTTGAGCGGGCCCTTCAGGTGCAGAGCAGCCAGCCTGCCTCCTTGGCCGTGAACTGTGAGTCCCTTTCTCTTGTCCCCAGCCCCTCACCAACACCCACTTCCTTAGTGCCTCATTCAAGTCTCACAGCTTTAGATACCTCCAAATGCAGACTTGTCTGCCCTTGAACTCCATATGTACAACTGCTTGACATGTCTACTTGGATTCTACTGGAAACATCCAACTTAATGTATCTAAAACTGAGCTCCGAGACTTCAGACGTCTGATCTAAAATCCTGCCTGGGTAGAGCTGATCAAGGAGCATTAGCTAGTCTACTTTAGAGTGTCTTCCAGTCCTGCTCTGCCCACAAATAGAGAGGCCTGGACCTCCTCCTCCTCCTCCTTTCCTCCCTCCTTCTCTTCAAGGTCTTCCTTCTGTTTGTTTTTTGTTGTCATTGTTTGTTTTTTTGAAACAGAGTCTTACTCTGTTGCCCAGGCTAGAGTGCCATGGCATCAGTCTAGCTCACAGCAACCTCAAACTCCTGGCCTTGAGCGATCCATCCTCCTGCCTCAGTCTCCTGAGTAGCTGGGACTACAGGCATGCTCCACCATGCACGGCTAATTTTTTCTGTAATTTTTTCGTTGTGGTTGCCTCTCCCCACCCTCCCAATTCTGTGGACCCCAACCTGCTTGTCAGGCAGCTAAGGAGGAAAAGGAACCATTTTCTCCTTATCTTGCTGAGATTCCTTTCAAGAGCAATTAGAAGAGCCTTTGTTTTCCAGGCTGCAATATGGAATTCCCTTAATTAGAACTGGGAAGGAAAAAAAGGTAAAACTTCCACGGTGGAAGTAAAGGGGCAGAATGGGATAAGTCCCCAGTGGGGCACAGGGTGCACCACGTTTGGCTCTGCACACAGATGGCCCCGACCCAGTGAACATCACCACGGTACCAGCATCCGGGATGGTTGGTACCATCGAGGCAGAGCTCAACTCCAGCTTGACCCTGCAGTGTTGGGCTGATTCCAAGCCAGGCGCTGAGTATCGCTGGACCCTGGAACACTCCGCTACGGTGCATAAAGGGGACCACCTGATCATTGGGGCTCTGACCTGGGAACACCAGGGCGTCTACAAGTGCACAGCCTCCAATGCCGTGACCGGCCTGGCCCGCTCCGCCTCTGTCCTGGTCAAAGTGGCAGGTGAGTCTCTCAGATGCACCTTCTCCTGGGATCCAAGTGGCTTTTCCCAATGCCAGCCCTGGCCACCTTGTCTCCCCCTGCCATGGGCTGGAGAACTCCATGGGCAGGTTCTTGGTCCAGAGCTGTTGAATCCCAACCCCTAGCACTCAGGCCCTAGAACCTCTACTTCTGGCTGTGTGCGCTGGAAAACTCTCCAGGCTATTCTAAGTGTCAGTTTTCTTACCTGTAAATGGGGTTTATGTTGCCTGCCTTTCAGAGTTGTTTAGAAGGACAATGAGTTTAGAAGGCCATAGCCAGAGAGAGAAGAAGTGAGCTGGTAGGGCGAATCAGGAATCATATTATTAATATTAACAACCGGGCATGAGTGGTAGGGAGTCCCCGTATTTCTGTCTTTAGCTCTTGAGAGGACAACAGTGTGCCCATTCACCAGGGTTCGTATCCTGGCTCCAGTGCTTATAAGCCATGTGACCTTGGGCAAGTACTTCAACTCTCTAGGTCTTTGATTTATGATCTGTAAACAAACATAATAATTCTGCCTGTTTCTGCCTGTTTTGTAGGGTTGTTGAAGATTAATTAACATTTATAAAGTTAATAGGGCAGTGCTTGGCATAGTGTAAGTGTTTGTTAAATAAAGTTATTTATTTATTTATTTTGAGTCAGAGTCTCACTCTGTTGCCTGGACTACAGTGCCCTGGCATCAGCCTAGCTCACAGCAACCTCAAACTCCTGGGCTCAAGCAATCCTGCTGCCTCAGCCTCCTGAGTAGCTGGGACTACAGGCAAGTGCCACCATGCCCGGCTAATTTTTTCTATATATTTTTAGTTGTCCAATTAATTTCTTTATATTTTTAGTAGAAATGGAGGTCTTGTTCTTGCTCAGGCTGGTTTCAAACTCCTGACCTTGAGCAATCCTCCCGCCTCGGCCTCCCAGAGTGCTAGGATTACAGGCGTGAGTCATCATGCCTGGCTAAACAAATAGGTATTCTTGATCGAGCCTGTGCCACATGTCTGAATCTAGGCTTTCTCTATATGATATCAACAAACACCTCATGGGGATGTTGTAGGATTTGAATGAGATCATGTCTGAAGGGCTCTTGGTGCTTAGAGCTTGCTAGATAGCAGATTCTATCATCATCATCATCACCATCACCTCTTATCAAGCACCTACTATGTGTCAGGCACTGTGCTGATACTTTTATATATGATCTCATTTCATCCCTTCAAAAGTCTATAGAGTTTGGAATTACTCTCCTTGTTTGACATATAAAGAAATGAGTACCATGCCCAGAGTCACACAGCCGAAATTTGAACCCAGAAACTGGCCAGTTGATTCCAGAAACAACGCTATTAATATCACCAACTGCTGCCTCCCAGTGACTGCAAAACAAGTGCTTGTAAAATGTCAGTGGAGATAGAGTCACAAGCTTGGGAATCGGACGAGGGTGTGTCAGGCCTGGGTCTTGGTTCTCTCTTCCTGCCCAGATCCCCAGCCCTCCTCCCTGTCCCCAAGAGCCATCGCTGGCATTGTCACCGGGATCCTGACTGTCACTGCCCTGGCCGCAGGTCTGGGCTATTTTCTCCACGTTAGCAAGACCAGATGGTAAGAGGAGGAATGGGGTGGGGGTTTGGCCAGCAGGGGGCGCGCCTGTTGGAGGGTTGCTGGCCGTGGTACTGAGCGGTGTCCATGGCACCTGAAGAATCTGGAGGGTTTGGGGGCCTCATCTAAGGACATGGTATGTGAGCAGAGCCTGTGGACGTGGGCAAAGGCTAGAGTCCCAGAAAAACGAAGGCTTTGGGGTTTCAGGTCCTCAAAAAGAAAAACAGAGGACCCCATTCACGAGGCCACACAGACCACCTCTGGAGAGGAGCAATCTACAGAGCCCAGTTCCAGTAAGTGACTCTGCAGCTGACGCCTGGGCAGCAGTGAGGGTGGAGAAGAGGCTGGCTCTGGGGGCCTAGCTTCCCCTCCCAGCGTTGCCACCAGGTCCCCGTGTGGTCATGGGCAAGCCCGGTCCTCTTGGAGCCTCAGTGTCTCCTTCTGGAATATGGATGAGATTGGAGTGAAGAACTCCGAGGGCTTCTGCCTGTGTCAACAGCCATGCCAAAAGCAGGACGACATGCTGGCATTTGCTCCCTCCTCGATCTCAGATAACCGTGTTAATTGATAGTTGTAGACAGAGTGAATCAATCACAACCCTCCTTCCCGCTGAATCCGAACCTAGTCCCATGATACTACTCAAAGCAGTGCCTCAAGCACCCTCTATTTGGAGATGGGAGTTGATCAAAGGCAAAATGAATCATATTTGTCATCTCTGGGTCTAGGATTCTGGAGGGATGGGCCTCAGAACATTCTAGGCCTTCTAGAAACTGTCCAATGCAGCTCCATTTACAGAGAGGAAAACCGAGGCCAGGAGGGACACTTGGCTAAAATCAGGCTACAGAGGACCCAGTGGCAAAACTGGGGCTAGCACTTACACTTCTCTTGCAATCTGTGTCATCAAATAGTCGATCAAACCTGGAACTTGAGTTCTAGGACATTCCTGGGTCAAGCTCACTGGAGGTGTGATGGGGAGTCCTGGGAAGGAAGGAAAGTTTCTGCCACTTCCATCCTGGGAACAGGGGTCCTGGAAAAACAGCCCCTTTCCCTATATCTCTTCCTAACTCCAGCTCTTTGCTGGGACTCATTTTCTCTAGACAGGCTGAGACCAGAGTATGACAATTTACCCGAGCCCCAGAGACAGACTGGAGACAAAAAGGTGGGTGAAGCCGCAGAGGGACCCTCTCTGTTCCCCTGATTGCCTGGACCTTCCCAGCCCACTATGGATGTTCTAGTCCCGCCTCGTAGGGTGGGGGACTGACATGATCTCTTAAGGACACTCAGTGCCAGCTTGGGTCTCTCTGCATCTCCTCACTTGACTCCTCTGAGGATCCCAAGATCTCCACCCTCGACGTTTCCATCCCTTCTCCACGTCTTCTTGCTCTTTTACTGGACAGTGCTCACCTTTGAGCCCTCTGGGTGTCAGAAGGGATGATATAGCCTCTGAGGTCAAAGCTACTTCTGAGAATTTCGGGGGGTGTCCCCCATCCCAAGCCTTATGACCTCCTCACTTTATTTTTCTCTAGATGCGGCCACCAGACCTCCCGGAGCAAGTCTATGAGGTATGTTGGCCCTGCTGGATTTTGTTAGGGAAGCTGCAGTAGAAATACCACCTGAGAACTTTATATTTGACAAGCCTGAGCGACTGTGTTGTGTAAACTTCCACTGTGCACCACAGGGCCAGTGATGGGGAGAAGGTGCTCGAAGGCTTCGCAGGGAGCTGGGTCAGATTCCAGGACTTGGACTCCTGTTTTGTGCCTTCCACTCCCAGGGCCCAGCCCATGCCGGGGTGTAAAGGAGGTTGGGAATAGAGGTTGCAGAGCCAGCAGGAAAAGAAAAGTGTTCCAGGCCAGGGGCAGAGCCTGAGTCCTAACCCTACAGCTGCTTCTGATTCTCTGCAAGAACCTACACGAATCCCTTCCTGTCTCTGGGTCCCTGAAGAGTGTGAAGTTGGCACATTCCAGGCAGTCTCTGTCTGTGGACCCTACCTGATTTCTCTGCTCACTTGCAGGTGGAGCCGCCTTCAGCAACCCCTGGAGGCTTTTCCTTTATCCCCAGGAAGCCACCACCTAGACCTGCCATGCATCCATTGGTCCCTACTCTAACAAAAGGAAACACGGAGTCAAACTACGAGGTATTTTTATGCTGCACTGAGTTTTTGGACAGGTGCAAAGCTGCCACCAGTCCACCTTTTCCTCCCTGCAGAAGAGTCTGTAGGAACTATCAAGAGAATGTCCCTTTACAAAATCTTTCCAATTCCACTCCATCCTTGCCCATCTCACCGTTTTCTAGTTCATTTTACACTGTTCCTTTTCCAGTGCATTCCATTGCATGTTTCCATTCAACTTACTTTCACTCCACCCGTTTCCTTTCCATCCATTTAACTTTACTCCATTTCTGTCTTTCCATACATTTTATTCCAACCATTAGTTTTCCATTCCATTGAGCTTTATTTCTTTCTACTCCATTCCTCCCCATTCCTTGCCTTCCCATCCACTCCACTCCTTTCATTCCATCCCACTGCACTCTGCTGGATCCCATTGCATTCCTTCCCATTTTCCTTACTTCATTCCTTTCCATCCTTTCCCACTCTTTCTATTGCTTGTTATTCACTTTTATTTTTTTCTTTCAATTCCTTTCCATTCATTACTTCTGCATTCCATGACCTTCTCTTTTATTCCAGTCCACACCCCATTTCCATCCCATCACTTTATTTCATTTGCGTTCTTTTCCTTCCCACCCCATTTCATTCCCGTTCTTTCCATCCACATATTTAATCCACACTATCAGTTCTGTTCCCTACCACTCCATGCCTTTCTATTCAACGTCACTGTTTACCTTTGTTTCTGTTTGATTGGCTTTCATTTCCTTCCGCTGCATTCCATTGCTTCTCATTATTTTTCCCCCTTCATTTCTTCTTCTTTCCATTCCCTCCTTTTTTCCCTTCCTTTTCTCTTCCCCATCACTTCCCCTCCCATGAAATTATATTTCATTGTTTTCCATTCTTTTTCATTCTGTTCTCTTGCTATTTCTTCTCTCTCTTTCATTCCTCTAAAACAATCATCTCCATTCTATTCCATTCCATTCTACTCCTCCTTTTCCCACCCTCCCCTTTAATGCCCTTTTAGGACCCTTCATCCCCTGTCTCTCGTTACTTTCAATTCTGAACTCCATTTGATTTCTTATTTTAAATTCCATTCTACTCCTTTCCATTTCATAAATTCTTTCAATTTCTCCAATCCTTTCCACTCCTTTCCTTTGCCTACCCTTACACACTTCATGGATGTCAGGGCTCCACCTTCATTCCATCATTTTCCATTTTGGATTCCACACCCATTCCATGTCACCCCCTCTTTTTTGTTTCTTCTCATTTCTTTCTCTTTATTCCATTCTTTAATTTCCATCACTGCCTTTTTATTAAATACTTCTTCTGCCTTTTTATCTCCTTTCTTTTCTCTCCATTGCATTCCATTTGTTCCTTTCATTAAATTCATTTTCCATTCCACCCCTTTCCATATGCATTTCCATTGAATCTCTGTACTCTCCACTTATTACTCCAGTTTGTCTATCCTTTTATTATCCTTTCACACAACGTTTCCGCTTTTCATTCCATTTACATTTCTTTTATACATGCACACTGCTCTAGTTATCATTCCGTTCTCTGCCTTTCATTTCCATTGTAATTTCATTCTGTTACAATTATATTTATTCTGTCCATATCCTTTCATGTCTTACCCATCTTTGCAGTTACATTGCTAATCTATTCATTTTCTTTTCCTTTCCAATGCCTTCAACTTCTTCGTGATGTAATAATCCCCATTTCTGCCATGCCAGAAATTGGAAAGCATGCCTTATTACAATCAGCTCTAGAAGATGCAATGAAATTAGAAGTACGGGAGTACAATCAGGGAAAATATTTTAACAGACAGAGCAGGAATCAAAATATGGGTAAAAATAAAAAAAAAATACAATTACGCAAACCTTCTACTCCAAAATGTGAATGTCCAATATAATCTAGGCATGTTTCTTTTCTTTTCATTTTCTTGCTTTTCTTTTCTTTCTTTTTTTTCTTTTCTTTTCTTTTCGTTTTCCTTTCTTGCCTTTCCTTTCTTTCCTTTCCTTTCCTCTTCCTTCTTTCCTTTCTTTTTTTCTTCTTTCCTTTCTTCTATTTTTTTTCCTTTCCCTCTTTTTGGTGGAGATCTTGCCTGCACACCGATGGGCTTGAGTACCCATGGCATCAGCTTAGCTCACCCAGAACCTCGAACTCTTGTTTCTGTTTGATTGCTTCCATAGTTCCTCTGCCTGCTTCTCAAATTATTGTTTTTCCCTTCTGTTCTTTTATTTCATTCCGACGTAGTCTTTTTTCCCTTTCCTTTTCTCTTCCCCATCACTTCCCCTCCCATGAAATTATATTTCATTGTTTTCCATTCTTTTTCAAGCAATTCTCCTGCCTTGGGCTCAAGCAATTCTCCGCCTCAGCCTCCTGAGTACCTGGGATTATAGGCACACCCCAATACACCTGGCTAATTTTTCTATTTTTAATCAAGATGGAGTCTCACTCTTGCTCAGGCTGGCCTCAAACTCCTGACCTCAAGCGATCTTCCCGTCTTGGCCTCCCAGAGTGCTAGGATTATAGGTGTGAGCCACCATGCCCGACCAGGGATTTTTAATATTGAGAAAGATAAACCCTTTGACAGTAGTTCAGATAAACTAGAGATTAATTGAGAGAACACTGAGAAATATCAGATAACTCAATTTCAGAAATGACTACTGGGCCTCATGAGGACTGGAATGCTCTTTGGAAGCTTTTCTTCTTCTTGTGGGGTTTCTTATTTTTGCTAAAATGTGGATTTGTTTCATTCTTCTCAATCGAGGTTGAATTCCTATGTAAGTTTCCTGGTCAACGCAGCTCTATAACTTCAATTATATACAACAACATCGTGTGCTACAGTTCAAGCATTCCTAGGTTCAGATTCTCCAGACAAGAATCAGATGGCTCAGGCCATTGTGTGGATTGTGTTTAGGTCGATTAGCCCTCCAATAAGCTTTGAACTGCTACAAACGCAGCCACTTGTGTGCCTCTCTTCACCAGGGTCTGGGAAGGGGAGCCATGTTTGTTTCCTATCATGAGTAGAAAAAAAGTTCTTCCAGAAACCCCACCCAGTAAGCTTCCTCTTATATCTCATGAGCCAGAATGGGATCACACGGTACTCCTTGTTGCAAGGGAGGCTGAGAAAGTGAGGCGTTAGCCTTCCCAGTCTCTTTGGTAGAAGCAGGCAAGGGAGGAGGCATGGGGAAGAGTATTAGGTCACCCAGCTCAGTGTCTGCTACATTCTGGGAGAGGCAGTGAGAAGGAGGAAGCCATGCAAAGGGTATGGGCTGGAGTGTTCCAAGTTGAGGGGCCTCCAGTGAAAAGGCCCTAGGATGTGAGTATGATTATCAGTTGTAGTATCATGAATTACCACAAACTTTGCAGCTTAAAACAACACACATTTATCATCTCATAGTTTCTGTGGACCAGGAGTCCAGATACTGCTTGGATGGGTCTTCTGCAAGGCTGTAATCAAGGTGTCAGCCAGGGCTCGGGTCTCATCTGAGGCTCGACTGGGGCAGGATCTACTTCCCTGTTCACATGGTTATTGGCAGCATTCAGTTCCCTGCAGGCTGTCAAAATGAGGGCCTCCATTTCTTACTGTCAATGGGAGGCCACCCTCAGTCCTTTGGCATTTGGCCCTCTCTATAGGCACCTCACAACATTGCATCTTTCTTCTTCACGACCAAGACAGAAACCACCATCTTATGTAACAAAATCACGGACCTGCGCCAAGTACTTTCTGTCATCTTTACCGTATTCTTTGGTTAGATACACGTTGCAGATCCTGCATTCAAGGGGAGGGCAATTACATAAGGACATGCGTACTGGAAGGTGAGGATTAGGAAGAGCACCTTAGAGTCTGTCTGCCACAGCGGGGAAGAACGTGGGCCATTCCAGGAACAGGGAGGTGCCGGTGTGACTTACATGCGGTGAGAAAGGAGGAAGATCTTTGGAGTTTCCAAGGATGGGAAATGAAAGTACCAGCAAGTAGACTGGGAGGGTACACCGAGCAAATAGAACTTATCTTTTTCTTTGTTTAACAGGTACTCAGGAATCCAGAGCCCCACATTTACTGCAAAATCTACCCCTGAGTCTAAGGGAAGCAGAGATCCTTTCTCCAGAAGTCCCAGAGAAACTGTGGTCCATTCAATGACGTTTACTGAGTGCCTATTATAATCCAATCATCCTCTGTCACCTTTGTAGACCTAGTGATGTTCTAGTTCAATGGGTTGGTCAGGCTCTGGACCTTAGCGCCCATCAAATCTTAGGCTTTTGAGTCATGTTCCTTTAAAAGCAATAGAAACAGGGTGAAAGTAACAGCCCATGGGCCTAGAATGAGAGGGCCAAGGTTCCAGGCTCAGCAGCTGAGGATATATCATAGTTGCAGCTTGAAGATGGGCAAACACTGTTGGTGGACACAGCAGCCAGGGAGAAGAATATGAGTTTGGGTCAGCCAGAGGTGATCAAGGGACACAGGCAGGGGTCAGACAAGCAGCGGATTTTCAAATCATGGTAGAGGATAAGGAACAAGGAGCTTTTAAGAAATGATAGGAGAAAACATGGTGTGAAGCCAGGGATTGAGGCTCCCAAGGAGGGGCGGGCATGAGATGCTTCCTTGGAGAGTGACCTGCCAATCATCCAGTTGCTCTGGCAAGAAATCTGAGTCATCCTCAAGTCCCGTGCTCTTTTTCCCTTCAGTAAATCTTATTCTGACCCTCTCCACCCCTGCATCCCTCAGGATGCTAAGTATCTCAGTAAAATTTTGAGGGTTTCTTCATGTCTTGTATTTATCTTACTAAATTTATTTGCAGATTTTTTTTGCTTCTATTGTGGATAAATATGAACGTTTTTCTGTCCTAGTTGGAAATTTAGTATTGCTTGTATAGAATAAAGATACTGATGTGTAGACAAGGGGCAATAGAATGCAAAAGTTGAGAGCATAAACTCTAGAGTCAGATTCTTGGTCTCCAATCCCAACTCGACCTCAACAATACACTAGGGTATGCTACTCAGTGTCTCTGGGCTTTAGTTTCATCTTCTGTAAAATGAACATAAGAGTTGCTGTGAGGACTAAATGAGCAATACACACACACACACACACACACACACACATATCTTACAACACTGCCTGGCAGAGTGTTACATAAATGTACATAAATGTTTATTATTTGTTTCATATTCAGTGACTTTCTAAACTTGTTAGGTAGGGGGATAAGGAGGGAGGGAAGAGGAGTAGATGACACCAGGAGATGCTTTGTCTACAACAGGAGGAACAAATTGACCAGAGGGGACTTCCAAGAAGGAACATGTCAAGGTGGCTACTAAGGACTGAACAGATATTTGGTCTACGATAGGGGGTCTCCAATGACTGACCAACCAAAAAGAGGCAGAAAAGCCACGCTAAGTGGAGATATGATCAAGGCCACAAAAGAGGGTCTTTGGCACATGCGTACAAGTAAGGTGACAGTATCCTCAAGTGACCTATGCTCATTAACATAGTAAAAGTCACACCTACCAGTGCCATGACAGTTTACAAATACCATGGCAACCCCCAGAAATTGCCTTACAAGGTTAAAAATGGGGAAGGTTCTCAGCGCTGGGAATTGTCCACTCCTTTCCAAGAAAAACCATGAATATGCCACACCCACTTAATATATTCTTAGGGATTAAATAAAACATAAAAAATAGACCCTAACCCTGGGGTGACGCTGTTCCTTATTGGAGCAGTCGGCTCTTTACTGACTTTGAAAGTGGGCCGGGTGTGGTGGCTCACGCCTGTAATCCTAGCACTCTGGGAGGCCGAGGTGGGCGGATCGCTGGAGGTTAGGAGTTCGAAACTAGCCTGAGTGAGACCCTATCTCTACTAAAAATAGAAAGAAATTAATTGACCAACTAAAAATATATATAGAAAAAATTAGCTGGGCATGGTGGCGCATGCCTGTAGTCCCAGCTACTCGGGAGGCTGAGGCAGGAGGATCGCTGGAGCCCAGGAGATTGAGGTTGCTGTGAGCTAGGCTGATGCCACGGCACTCACTCTAGCCTGGGCAACAAAGTGAGACTGTGTTTCAAAAAAAAGAAAGAAAGTGTACTATGCTTTCTATACTCTGTCTTCTCCACTAATGTGGTTGACCCATTTTCTCTGGAATGAACTATACTTTAGTAAACTTTGGTACTTTGCTTGGGCTGCTCATTTGCCGCATCGAAACAGTAACCATTCTTCAGTACCAGGAACCAAGAACCAGGGAACACAGACCTGACGTCTGGTCTCCACACCTGACAAACTCTCCTTTGTGTTAGTTTAAGTGTCTTGGGTCTTTTGGTAATAATATCTGCTCATAACAGTGAATTTTGTATTCTCTGTACCCGATGGTTATAGTACATATCGATTTTGTATTGAAGTTTTGTTTTTAAAACCAATTCTTTTAGACATATACCGAAATAGCCACAGAAAAAATGAAATAATATCTACAATTTGTTTCAAAATCATTAGGAGATATGGAGAGTGGAAAACACAAACACAGGTGGGAGTACAGAGGAAACAAGATTGAGTTGAAAATTATTTAAATTGGATGATAGCCTAGGAGAGGGGTTCATTAAACAAGTCCCTACTTTTGTTTTGAAATGTACAAAATAAAAAGTTGAAAAAAATTAGCTACCTACTTCCATTTGAGAACCAACAACACATTTAACCCACAAACATTAGAGATACGCCCGTTAAAAGGCAAATACAAACAAGAATGCTTCTTTTACTGTTACTGTTTTGAAAATGGTAGCAAACACAACCCAACATGACAGGGGATATCTTGTTTAAATACTGGTAAGGAAAAGATTAAATTATTATCTGTAGATAATTGTCTGACTGGAAAAGCCAAGAGAGCCAACTGGACTATTACAAGAATTAACAACATTTCAGTAGGTGAACCAGACACAAAACAAATAATTTTTAAAAAATCAACCACTGATTAATCAACTTTGGGGGTAGAGAGTACATTTTTTTCCCCCAAAATCTCACAAAGATTGAAAAGAGTACATTTTAAATAGCAATACTTTGTTATTGTTAAAAGGTCAGAATTTAAGTGAGGAAAACTACAAGAGTGCTTTGACAGCATTTTAAAAAAGCTAAAAAATACCATATTTTCATACAGCAGGGCTCCAGTTTTCAGCTTCCTCCCAGGCGGGGTGAAAATTAATATTACAGCTACCTCACAGGGTGACTGGGCTGGTTAATGAGATGTTGAAATATTTAGCAAGCAGCCAGGAACCTTTATTTTGTCAACAAATATTTATTGAGCAACTATTATATGCCAGGTACTGCAAAAACATACCAGATTCTTGAAGGGTTCGGTAGGAGCCCCCTTGACTGTCAAATGGGGATGTCGCCACTGCTTCAGTCCTGCAGGGCGTGTGACAGGCAGTAGGCGTCCCGGAGGAGTCCCCGCCGTTTCCATTGGATTCCGTTGTCAGGGAGACTCCCGGGCGTCAAGCCGGGCTCGGGCCAGCCTCTCCCAAGTCGGCCACTCTCCACGCGCTGCTGCCCTGCCCTGGCCTCGGCCTCTGAGTCCCGCTGCCTGTCCCAGCCCCCACCCTAGGGACCCAGACGCTGACGCCCCCTTCGCGTCCGGCCCGGTCCAGGCCCCGCCTCCCGGAGGAGCTGGAACCCCGCCCACTCACTCCCCGCGCCGCTGAGGCTTCTGGGATTTGTAGTTCTGGTTCACCGAGCCCAAACGCACTTCCGGGTTCGGCCCGAAGCGCAGCCATTGTCCCGCGCGCGGACGCTTGCTGTCGCCCCGCAACTCAGTCCTTCGGAGTTAACCCCGGGCGGCCTTGCGGATGTTGACGAGGCGACGGGAGCGAACTAGCTTAACCCGAGTCGGTCGTGCGTCAGCATCGGCGCAGGGGTTACTTAACCCGAGTTCGGCCTGCCGCAGAGCCGGGCCGGGCTCCGAAGAGCGTTGACAGGCCCGACCTCGGCTGCGGTCCGTGGACGCTCAGGTTGGTGGGGACAGGGCGGGACAGCGCTGAGTGTTCGGTGCGCGCGAGCGCAGGGTCTAGCTGGAAGCGGTGGTGAGTGTGGGTGGGCGACCTGGCATCTCAGCGGGCGGCGCTTTAGCGTCCCATCACCCAGGTTGGTGGAAATCCTGAAGTGGTTGCGGATTCCACAACTACGCTCTCTGCGCACGCGCGGGTGCTTGGTCAGGTGCTCCAGTCTGGGGCCTGAGGATGCTCAGGTTGGTGGAAGACGGGGCACATGCACTGATGGGGTGGGGATCCTGGGAACCCCTCTCCTCCAATGCCAGGACTGTTTAGTGAGGGCCTGAGGACGTTCAGGTCGATGGAGAATTTGAGATTGTGGTTCCTGGAGGTGAGGGGCGGTGCCGCTCTCCCTGTACTCTTGAGCAGGCGTTTGGGTAGGAAGTACAGGTGGTAGGGAAGATTCTGGGCAGGTGGCTCTGGGACCCTGGAGCAGACACTGCTCTTCTTGAAGGCCTGGAGACGCTCTGGTTGGTGGAGGGACCAGGCGGGAGTTGCAGATTCCTTCTCCAGGAGTTGTAGTGTTGCTTCAGCGAGCCCTTGGTGGGAATCACTGATAGCCAACTCCCAGGTTGAAGAGAGGCAGGTCCTAGGCACAGTGCGCCCTGCACGCGCTGAGGATGTCTGAATGGGAAGCAGGATATTGGACTGAGAATCCTTAGACCCGTGGAGGCTCGTGCAGAGCTCTAGAGCATTCATGTTTGGTGGAGACACTGGGTTGAAAGTATAGACTCTGAGCCCAGGAAGGAGAGAGCTACAAGAGCTGCCATCAGATGGACAGCTGCTTGGGGAGGAAGCAGGATGCTACCAGCACCTTATGAAGCAGGTGGCCTGGGACCTGTGCTTGAGCTACTCTGGGTGCTGGCACGAGAATGCCCAGGTTGTTGTTGGTGGTGGGGGGGCAGAGTCTGGGCTGCATTTGGGCTTGGAAGGAGCTTGCTCTGCACGACACTCAAACCTTCCTATTTGGGTTGGAGGAGGCCAAAGGGCCTAGTTCCTCTGGGAGCTGTTCTATCATGGCTTGAGCACCCCCAGGCTGGCAAGTGCCCAGGTCCTGGGGCTGATTCTGGAGCTCAGTGCCCAGGCTACTGCTCAGATAGTATGGTATTCTGCCTGCAGGCAAGTAGTGGAGTGGGTGACCCCAGAACCCACGTGGAGGTTTTGGGTGCTGGAGCTGTCCCAGGTGGGTTGAAGTGTAGAGTGAGGGATATTTGATATATTCTTGTCTTAGGAGCAAGGACTGCATACGACCCCCAGACTGGTGGAGGGCCCAGGTCTTGGATGCAGATTTCTATTGTGAACCTGCTCTGCGGCTTGTGCCAGTAGGAGGGAGCCTAGCTGGGTAGAGGCCTAGGGGCCTCAGTTTGGGTCTGCAGGCTCTGGTCTTAGGAGGCACAGGGCTGCACTCTGCACATATGCTGGCATTTGAGCAGAATGGGTATGCATGGGTGGTTCTAGAACCCTGGTACTTACTGCCTGGGGATGCCTAGGTATGTGAAGGGAACTGCCGCAGAGGGGCACACACACAGGTGTTTGATGGGGAAACAGGGAAGCTGGGGGATGAGTTTTAGACAGAGGGTGCCCTGATCACAGCCTGCTGATCCCAGGTTGATGGAAAGGCAAGATCTCCTTGAACCATAGGTGCCTGGGCAGGAATCTGGGCAGGTGTGACTTAAGCAGGGGCTTGCTGAGGTCGGTGGAGGAAACTGAGTTTTGGTGCAGGTTTAAGGTCCATCTCCATTGTGAACTGCATTATACCATTTGAGTGAGAATCTGGTGCGGGCAGGGCGATGGGTAAGAGGGAGAAATGGGAGACAGGGGATGGGGCTCACAGGGTGGGATTTTCCAGGCACTGCTCTAGTCTCAGATTCCAAAACATATCTAGATGTTAGAAAGATGGCTGAACTACTGAAGTACATGTTTTGGGGCTGGGAGGGGCCTGCCTTTGTCTGGCTTGTCCTGCTGTCTGTTGGAGGACCCTGGTCCTACGCAGGCTCTGTTGCAATTTCAGGCCTAAGGACACACAAGTTGGTGGAGTGACAAGGTTAGAGCCCAGGGCCCAGGAGGGTGTTGGGGTGGGAATCGGGGCTGGTGCTGTTCTGGTAGGGGCCAGCGGACTCCAGAATGGCGGGACCAGGGCCTGGGTGCAGCTGAGCTCTGGACACAGGCTTGGCTATTTGAGTAGCAAGTGGGAGGCGCTCTGCCATGGGTTGCCAGGGCAACAGGCCTGGCTGATGGCGGTGTAGGATCAGTCTTAATTGCTAAGTTAGTTCCTGGGAAGGGTGGGGGCCATGTCACAAGCTTCACGCATTTAGGCAATGAGTGTGATTCGAGACCACCAATCCCAGAGCCCTGCTGCTGGCTCTAGGAAGAAGGGCTGGTTTGGGGCTGCAGATTCAAGTTGGGGGCATGGGGAGCAGTGCACACTAGGGGTCCTCGATGTGCTGGGTGTTTGTGGGGATCCCTGGACTCATTGGGACAGGGGAGGGATGGATTGGTGCTGCAGATGCGGGTGGTGGGCAGAAAGCACCACCTTTGTTTGAGCATGAGGTTGGCTTATAGGTAGATGTCCCAGAAGCCCAAGATAGTGAAGGAACCCGGCTGGAGCTACAGAGGCTCGGCCTAGAAGAGGGACTGACGGACTCTCCGTGCAGGTACAGGTAACTCGGGCAGGAATCTGGGTGCATTTGCCACGGGGAATGCGTCCTGGGAGCAGGGACTAATGGGGAGAAGGGGGCACAGCAGTGCCGATGACCTGCACGAGGATGCTGTACTCAGGGCTTCTCCTCTTGATGCAGCTCCAGACCTCAGCACACCGCTGTGCCCGGAAGAGAGCATGGAAGAGCAGGATGAGAAGCCCCCAGGACCCCCGAAGGGCTGCGTGCAGGTGAGTGGAGCCACCCTTCCCAGAGAGATGCAGAGCTTGCTGTCAGCCACGCCCCACAGCCTGACCCTCTGGGCTTGGGAGCTTGTCGCTCTCCTGGCTCTCTTTACAGCCTTTTAGGTGCTTTGGGTCCCTTACTGCCAGCAGGCTTTTTCTAACACTTCAACAGTATACATTTTATGAATCTCCCTGCTATGTTGCCTCACCTTTTTAGCCCAGGTAACTCTTTCTGGGAGGAATTTGGCACTCTGCATCCAAAGCCCTTCGAATTCTCATTCCCCTTTAGCCAGCAATTCACAGCTTTGTTTGAGATTGAACAATTGGAAATAGCCTAAATGTGCAAGAAATGATGAGAGTTAAATGTTAAGAGTATAGTTAAATGAATTATGATAAGATCATGAAATGGAATACACTGTAGTCATTGCAACTGAATTGAGAATGTGTACTAACTGACAGAAAAAGATATTTGTGACTTAGGCTAAGTAAATAGCATTTAAAAATCATCATCTTTTTTTTTTTTTTGAGACAGAGTCTCTGTTGCCCAGGCTAGAGTGCCGTGGCGTTAGCGTAGCTTACAGCAACCTCAAACTCCTAGGCTCAAGCGATCCTCCTGCTTCAGCCTCCCAAGTAGCTGGGACTACAGGCATGTGCCACCATGCCCAGCTAATTGTTTCTATATATTTTTAGTTGGCCAATTAATTTCTTTTAATTTTTTTAGTAGAGATGGGGTCTCGCTCTTGCTCGGGCTGGTTTTGAACTCTTGACCTTGAGCGAACCTCCGGCCTCGGCCTCACAGAGTGCTAGGATTATAGGCATTGAGCCAACACGCCTGGCCATCATCATCTTTTTAAAAAGGGATATAGTCTGTGTGTACATAGAAAATATGTTAGGTGACTATAAATATACCAGTTAACAAAGATTATCTACAAGTTTCTTTAAAAGTGACTTTATTTTTTTGTTTACTTGTAGCCATTTTCATTTTTTGATACAGTGCATTTGAAGGTTAAAAAATGAACAATTTAGAGCATTTTCCTACAGCAAATATTCTTTGAAAACATTTAATCTATTAAAAATGTTAAATTAGACTTTTTCCTTCCTCTTCCTGAACAAGTCAGCCCTGAAGCCACAAGGAGGGGCAGAGCTAGGTAGGCAGCTCCTGCTGTGGGATTGTGTCACGGTCTGATGGGTGTGAGGACGATGGCCATGGGTGGCATCATGACCAAGTAGGGTCAGGAGTGTCCCCATAGGCTAGCAGCCCGGCACAGCGTCAGAGCCCGAGTGGAGTGGAGAAGTCTGTGTAGGGGGCAGCCCAGCCTGGATGTTGGTGCCCGAGATGGGGAGTCACAGCCCAAGTGGGTGGCAGGGGGCATCACAGGGGCAGGGGATCTGACATGGGGTGACAGGGTAGAGCAGATGAGCAGGACATCCACAGAGGGGACGCCGTGGTGTGGGCAGTGGGAGCCCAAGTGCAGTGAGCAGGTGTCCCATGCCAGGGTGGTCCACATGGGGTGTCAGAGTCAGAATAGGGTGAGAAGTACGTCCATGTTGGGGTAGGACACTGCCTGGTATGATGTGTTGGAACTTGAGCAGTATGAGGGCATTCCCACGTGACAGTAGCCTGCAGGGGTCTCAGAGCCCAGCAGAGTGCGGAGGGCACCCACGCAGCGGGGTGGCCTGACGTGGGCTGTTCAAGTCCAAGTAGCACGAGATGTGAGTCTATGCGCTGGGGTGGCCTGGGGGAGTCAAAGACCAAGGAGGGTGAAGAGAAGCCCTTGACATAGGGCAGCCTCGTGTGGGGTGGCATAGCGTGGCTGTGGAAATGGGACGTGAGCTACCTATGGGGGGCTGGATCAGATAAGCAAGTATAAGAAGGGACCAGGAGCCAGGGATCCCACCATCAAAGCAGAGAGGTCCCAGTCAGGCAAGAGAAAGCACTAGAATGGACTCTGTGGTATGCAGTTGGAATTGGAGGTTTTGATGTGGGCTTGTGGTTTTCAGTATACATAGATATAGGAATATGTAGATATTCGTGTGCACATGTGTGCATGTTGTACACACATATGTTCCCTGTCGAGGGCCTGGGCATGTAATATCACTTTGCATTGGGATATCATTGATATCCCAATATCACTGCGCATGCCTAGTGCCCAGATTTTAACTCCTAAGTGTGCCACTGGTTTTATGGGTTTACTGTTAATGGCTCTTTCATGTTAATTATCCTTTATTTTGCTATTACAAATAGCATTTTTTTTTTTTTTTTGAGACAGAGTCTCACTCTGTTGCCTGAGTTAGAGTGTGGTGGCATCAGCCTAGCTCACAGCAAACTCAAACTCCTGGGGTTGAGCAATCCTTCTGCCTCAGCCTCCAGAGTAGCTGGGACTACAGGCACGTGCAACCATGCCCAGCTAATTGTTTCTATATATTTTTAGTTGGCCAATTAATTTCTTTTTATTTTTAGTAGAGACAGGGTCTCACTCTTGCTCAGGCTAGTTGTGAAGTCCTGACCTTGAGTGATCCTCCTGCCTCGGCCTCCCAGAGTGCTGGGATTACAGCCATGAGCCACCGTGCCTGGCCTTACAGATAGCATTTTTGTAAATTTTGTTTTGTGTATGATTCCTTGTACATATGTGGAAGAATTTTAGAGGGAGTTAAATATAAGTTCCTATTTACATAATATGTTTATCAAAGCTAAAAGTAAAACATGTTTTGATGTGCCCATTGGTGTTCTACTTGAAGCTGGTGACTTTGGGTGTTTTCTGAAAATCTTAATGCTCCTTTTGCCATTTTCTCTTATGTGAGCAAACTGGGGTTAATGGTCTGTTCATTATATTGATAATATGACTTTCATCATATCGTTATCGATTGCGTAACCAGTGTAAGGCCTTGTGTGAGGCGCTGGGGAGGAAGATGAGGCAGACAGCCCTCCCTGCTCGACTTAGTTCTCACAGCCAGGAATGTGCTTCTGGTATTTTCCAGGAAAAGCAAAACACCCTCCTTCTAGTATTAGTTGTCTATTCTTACCCCAAAACTTAGCAGGTTGAAACAGCCAACATTTCTGTTGTCACCCAGTTTCTGAGGGTCGGGAATCCAGGAGCAGCTTATCTGGGTGTTTCTGGCACTTGGGTCCCCCATGAGGTTGCAGTCAGGTTGTTGGTTGGGACCGCCACCTTCTTGACTGGTGGGAGGATCCTCTTGGAGACTCATTTATGTGGCAGCTCGTGTTGGCAAGAGGTGATCCACACCACCTAGGCCTCTGTCCACAGTGGCTCACAGCACAGCAGCTGATTTCTCCCGGAGCAAACGATCCAAGAGGGAGAAGGACATGGAGGGAGAGGGAAGAGGGAAGAGGGAGGAAAGTGAGAAGGAGAGGTCAAATGTGCTTAGTTGCACACAAGCAAGATGGAAGCCGTAGTGTCTTTTATCATACGATCTCAGGAGTGACACAGACCCACCCTGGTACCACGTGGGCAGGCAAGGACTACATAAGGGTGTGAATATTAGCAGGCAGGGGACTTTGGGGACCATCTTGGAGTCTGGCTACCACATTTTTCAACTCTGAATGTCCTCCGGTTAATTATTATTCGAAGATGCACAGGTCCTTGACTTGGACCTGAAGGATCTAAGAGCCCTGGCAGGGAGAGAGAAATCAAGGAAGCCCACATCTTGGCTTTGAATGAAGGCCACAAGCCCAGTGAGCTGATCTAGGAAGAAACCATCTGGTATTGGGATGTTGCCAGAGACAGTTCAGTGGCTCGTAGACCTTGAAATAGCTGGGCCAGGCAAGGCCTTGAGCCAACTCTGAGCTCCACCTGCCTTCAGGGACTGAGACCAAAAATCCTGCCAAGGAAGTTGTGGAACCTCAGCCCTCCACTGTCAGTGTCAACCTTCAGAGCCATGCAGGTTGTTGATGGCCCGTGGTGGCGGTGGTGGGGTCTATTTTGTATATTTGGGAAAAGAATTATTCATAGATGACAGTGTGGGGTGGGAGAGAGAATTTTCTCGTGTGTGAGAACTAGAGGGACCCTCAGGAGGATCCCTGAGAAAATCAGGCCAGGGGAACATTCCTTCCAGCTTTGTAGTTGTTGGGAAATTGGTTTTATGTCTCTAGCATCAGCGATTGAGGAATTTCAGGGCCTTCGCATGGGCCCTGTGGCCATCATCACATCCCTTGAGCTGACATTTGAGCTCTACCTGACTTCTCCCAGGGCCAGGAGAGCTGAAAACACACCAAGGACGTGTTTCCCTGCGTGACGCCTGTGTTTTCGAAACCTCCTCCCAGATATAGAGAGTTTCCCGCTGGCACACCCCAAATGCAAAGCTCTGAGAATTGAGTTCAGTACTAACTCTGTGATTTGATTAGCAACTTTCTTTTGTTGCCCCAAGAATGCCTGAAGTTGGGAAAGATGTATTTGGTCATCTCTATTTATGGGGAAGCAAATAGCCAATAGCCCTAGGTCTGATTTGACCACTGTCTTACTGTGAAGCGGACAGGTCACTCCATGATGCTTGTTTTTGTTCCTCTGCTTTGGGTCACATGTGGTCCCACCTGTGTCACAGAGGGAACAGCTCTTATCTTCTGCCCAGGACTCTTCCGTGGAAGTAAACAGTCTAATTCCTGTTCCCATTCTGTAAAGTGTGCAAAGGAAAAGGAAAATAAATGCTCCTTTGCAACACACAGACATGGCGCTCCAGGGCACAGAGAAAGTAGGGTAAAGCCCTCTAGTTTCATTTGTCCCAAACTCGGCATGTGTCTAGTCCTGTTAAAATCAGAGAACTTTTATTGCGCTCCTACTCAACACTGCAGAGACACAAAGATGAAAAATTCACAGTTCTTCATAGTAGAGGATTTATGACCAAGGGGAGAGTTATATAGAAACAGAAGTAATGTGAGGAGAATGATTTTTACTGATACAGTAAAGATCCAGCAAAACAGCTAAGAAATCCTAAGGGGCCAGGCGAGGTGGCTCACGCCTGTAATCCTAGCACTCTAGGAGGCTGAGGCAGGAGGCTCGCTTGAGCTCAGGAGCTCGAGACCAGCCTGAGCAAGAGCAAGACCCCATCTCTACTAAAAATAGAAAGAAATTAGCCAGACAACTAAAAATAGAAAAAATTAGCCGGGCATGGTGGCACGTGCCTGTAGTCCCAGCTACTCGGGAGGCTGAGGCAGGAGGATCGCTTGAGCCCAGAAGATTGAAGTTGCTGTGAGCTAGGCTGACGCCACGGCACTCACTCTAGCCAGGGCAACAAAGCGAGACTCTGTCTCAAAAAAAAAAAAGAAAAGAAAAGAAATCCTAAGGGAAGAAGAGATATGAGGCTTTGTGCTATCTGGGAACACTTCATGGAGGAGGTATTATTCAGTCTGGGCCTTGAATGATCAGACAGACTTTGATTGGTAATATAATGGAAAAGGGAGGAGTTTGTATGAGGTGATCGGTGGACTTAGATGAGTTCACTAAACTTCATTACCATTCATTTCTGCATTGGTGAAATAGACATATCACTCTTTCCTTCAAAAAACCTCAGATGATTTTGTGAGCTAGTCTATGAGAGTAAGTTGGAAGTAGGTTCTAAAGGCTGATGCTCTGAATTTTCTGAGAAGAAAGGACACCCAACAGAGGTTTCCTCTACCCAGAGAAGGAACTTGAGCTCAGCAGTGATTTGATGGCTTTAAGGACCTCACGGGTAAATGTGAAGGTGCAGCTAGCACATCCCATTTCTCTTCTCATATTGGTTGTTTATAGTCAACACACACATACAAAGTGCTGACTGTGTGTCAATAGTGATCTAAGCACAGTGAAACCAGGACAGACAAGATCTGAGCTCTTACGAAGCCCCCTCTAGTGGAAGAGTTGGGTAAAAAACCAGAGGTAAGACTATTAGGAATGGGATGTGAAGAAATGAACGCAGAGTACAGTAATTGAGTTGACTGCTGGGTGGGGCAAGGAAGGATATGTCATCCAGAGTCAACTGCAGGGAGAGCTGAGTTCCCTTTTGTTTTGTTGTGAAAACTTTTAAAGAAAAAGGTATTGAAAATGATTTTCATTCAAGAGTGGGTGCAACCATATTCTCCAAGTAAAATTGTTTTAGCAGTTGTGGCAGATAAGGAATATTTTGGAATATTGTACTTCTGCCAAGTACCTGCTGAGTTAGAAACATCAAAATTTTCAATTCTTGGTATTGTTTCTAAACTGATCTTTGCTGTCTGTTAAAACCCACACACAAAAAACCACTAAGATGGGAGGCTGAGGCAGGATCGCTTGAGCCCAGGAGTTTGAGGCTGCTGTGAGCTAGGCTGACGCCACGGCACTCACTCTAGCCTGGGCAACAAAATGAGACTCTGTCTCAAAAAAAAAAAAAAAAAAAACCACTAAGAGTATATAATAACTTAAAATACAGGCTAGTGCTTGTAAGTTTTCCTTTCTTGAGTAACTTTTCTCATTTCCCAGGATTTTTTTTTTTTTTAGAAAAGACATGTTGACATTATTGTGCATTAGCAATATGATTTTTCTCTGAAGCCAAGTTCTCACGATGTGGTTGAGTCCATTGGCAGTTTGGGGTCAAAATATGTGGCTCCATTGGATCATCTGTAGTTTTGTTGTGATTATTTTGGCATTACAAGTTTTGTTTGTTTGTTTTTGTCCTTCCATGTTTTGGGCTATTAATATTTTGTAATGCTCACGCAGCAATTTTAAGGCAGTTTAACGGTCCTGATATTTGTGCTTGGCAGTATTGCAAGCAACATAGCGTCTTGACTTTCACAGTGGGCCTTCTTTGCATTGCAGGAGCTCTTGGTGTTTCAGTAGTCATTTTTAAACTCACTATCTGCCCAGGCCGTATACAGAGGTGTTTTTAGGTTTGAAGAGTCCCTTCCTGCCTTTAAAGACATTAATGCTAACCATTTCAAATAACCCTTCCCACTGCAGTAGTGAAATTTTCTCTATGTTGGTAAGGGGGGAAATTGACACACCTATGCCTATGAGAAAGTACATTAGTTTTCTTTTAGTTTCTGATTGAGAGGCTTCTAAATAAAGGAGTGATAATCAAGAATCAGCCGTACTTTTCAGTGTTTGAAGATTTGAGAAGAAGCAAAGTATACTTGAATGGACTTTCATTTGACAGGTTGAACTGTTGTACTCTGTAGGAAAAAAACCTCAGGACACTATGAAGGAATTTTCTTGTTTCAAGGTAAATTACCAAGAGGGAAATGCTTTTTTGCTTGTTTCTGAATATTTAATTAAAGAAAGTGCTATTGACTAAACACAGATACAGTATTAAAGCAAGCAGTGAACCTGCTCCTCAATTTTACTCCTTCAAAGAATAACTCCTTTCAATGCTTTTGAGAATGTTCTTCCAGATTTTTCTGTGCATATTTATATTATATAAAAATCTGTTCTTTATACTATTTTTAGTTTTTTCACTGAACAATATATTATAGACATCTTACTGTCATTAATTTGTATCATGCAACTCTGTCTCTTCTTCTCTTGGCTGTTCAATAGTGCTCAGTTGTCTAGGTAAAGCATAACTTATTTAATCAGACACTTCCTAATGGATATTTAATATCTTGACCCCAATTTTCTACTGTAATGTAACTTGTTAATGAGATTTTTCTTTTTTTTTTTGAGACAGAGTCTCACTCTGTTGCCCGGGCTAGAGTGCTGTGGCGTCAGCCTAGCTCACAGCAACCTCAAACTCCTGAGCTCAAGTGATTCTCCTTCCTCAACTACCTGAGTAGCTGGTACTACAGGCATGTGCCACCATGTCCTACTAATATTTTCTATATATTTTTAGTTGTCCAGCTAATTTCTTTCTATTTTTTTTAGTAGAGACAGGGTCTCACTCTTGCTCAGGCTGGTCTCAAACTCCTGAGCTCAAACGATCCTCCTTCCTCAGCCTCCCAGAGTGCTAGGATTATAGGTGTGAGCCACTGCGCCTGGCCAATGAGATTTCTTATGCATCTCAATGTACTTTCTATTATTTCCTAAAAATAAATACTTGCAAGTAGACAATGGATATTGCATTACATTATTAAAAATATAGCTGTTAAGAAAACAGAAGTAGACACAAAGAATATACATAAAAGCTCATGAAATCTGAATAAAGGCTGTTCCTGAGTTAGTAGTGTACCAATGTCAATTTCCTGGTTTTGGCAATGTACTGTAGCTGTGTATGATAGTACCACTGGGGAAAGCTGAGTGAGGATCTATTTTTGCAACTTTTTGTGAATCTTCAATTATTAATATTTCAAAATAAAACAGTATAAATATAAATATTAATATATAGCTAATCCAGGAAGGTTGAATCAACTTAACATTTCTTTTCTTTTTTTTTTTTTTTTTGAGACAGAGTCTCACTTTGTTGTCCAGGCTAGAGTGAGTGCCGTGGCGTCAGCCTAGCTCACAGCAACCTCAAACTCCTGGGCTCAAGCGATCCTCCTGCCTCAGCCTCCCGAGTAGCTGGGACTACAGGCATGCGCCACCATGCCCGGCTAATTTTTTATATACATATCAGTTGGCCAATTAATTTCTTCTATTTATAGTAGGAGACGGGTCTCGCTCTTGCTCAGGCTGGTTTTGAACTCCTGACCTTGAGCAATCCGCCCGCCTCGGCCTCCCAGAGAGCTAGGATTACAGGCGTGAGCCACCGCGCCCGGCCCCCAACTTAACATTTCTACTAAGAATGTATGAAGCTCTTGTCAAGTGGGCTGCCAGAGCTGAAATTATTAGCCACGGACCAATGACTGTCGAAAAAATACTCCATGTGGTCAGGATGTTGGCTACATACAGGAGTTTGAGCAAATAAATAAGTAAATATAAAGAGGATAATGGGAGCCAGAGAAAGAGAGTATAAATATAGAAAACAGGAGGGCTAAAATAAAATCTGCTATTAAATTGTAAATTGGAGATATCAGTGTAAGTTTATGTTGTCTAATACATATGGATAGTTATACAAATAGATATTTGACTGTAGTCCCAGCTACTTGGGAGGCTGAGGCAGGAGGATTGCCCGAGCCAGTGGATGCCACTGCACTCTAGCCAGGGTGACAGAGTGAGAGTCTGTCTCAAGGAAAAATAACAAAGAAATAGATATTTTATTTGACTTACAGAGATGAGGATCTGTTTGCATATTCACTGGCCATTTTATATCTTCATAATTTTATGTGTTGCATGTGCATTTTCCTTTGTCCAGTTTTCTTGTCGAGGCTACCTTTTTCTTACTGATTTGGAAGAAGTCTTAATAGTATACATTCTTCTTGATGGTGCCTTTATAAGTGGTACTTTTTTGGTAAACATTTTATGAGGTCAGTTTTTGTTGATGTTTTCTTTTATGATTCTGGCTTTGGTGATGTGTTCCATTTTATCTGCTTACAATTTCATAACCCAGAAATTTAGGCAGGGCCCTACTGGGCTGTTCTTTTGCTTCACATAGTGCCTGGAGTTATTTACTCAGCTGCTTTTAGCTGGCAGCTGGGCTGGCCCAGAAGGTCCACGAAGACTGCATGCCCATGTCTAGGGCCTCAGTGCTTCTTCACATCTCTCCTCTCACTCTTCCCACATGATCATCTGAGCTTACCGACAGGGGAGAGTAGACGGTTGGTAAGTGGCAGGTATTAAAACAGGTGGTATGTCAAATCCCAGCCTACTTACAGTGGGAGTTTGGAGCTGCAATGTAACTCCCTGATTATTTTTCTTTTTCTTATCTATTTTGCCTTCTCAGGACTCTCTCCTTCCTCAAGAGATTATCATCAAGGTCGAGGGAGAAGATGCTGGGTCACTGGCCATCCCATCCCAGGTGAGTTGGGCAAGGCCTCCTTTTTTACACTGAGTGATGTGCATGGCTGGTTGACAGGAGCCAGATTTTGAAATGAGCTTGGAAGTGAGGAAATGGAGATAAGAGTGGACAACTTTTCCAAGAAATTTAGTTATCGTATGAAAGATGGAAGAGAGTGAGAACTGCAAGGAAATTGGAGATTGAGCAGCTTTTTTCTTCTTTTTTAAAGAATTGAAAAGATTTGACTCTGTTTAAGTGGTTATAGGAAAGAGTAACTGGAGAAAGAGAAATTAACAATCAGACAATAGGAGATAAAATATAAAAGCAGAGTCCTCGGTTAGTGCCAGAGGAATTAATTCAGAACATCTGTGAATAAATTAGCTCTATATGGGGAGAAGGCTTCACATAGGAATAATGAGGTTGAGGGAGTTATCTGAAGGCTTAGATTTTTCTCTGTGATAGATCAGATGAGCGTGAGGGTGGGAATTGGATGGGAGAAATGTTTGACAAGGGTAGAGAAAGCTTAAAATATATATGTATATATATATATATATATATATTTTTTTTTTTTGAGACAGAGTCTTGCTCTGTTGCCCAGGCTAGAGTGAGTGCCATGGCATCAGCCTAGCTCACAGCAACCTCAAACTCCTGGGCTCAAGCGATAGGGGGCCAAAAAAAGATTTTTTCCCCCAAATTTGAAAGGGGTGAGTATGGTTAGGCCTAATAAATTGAAATGGGAATAAGCTCATCATAAAAAAGAGAGATTGTCAGATTAGATATTTTTGTAATCCAGATATATGCCCTTTATAGGTGAGAAACCCAAGTGTTTTTTCTTTCTACTTCCACTGCTCTTCACCTATACCTACTGCTTTTTCATCAAGGCCATGTTTTTTTATACTTCAGGCATTAGCAAAGTACAGCCTTGCAGGCCAAATTTTGCCCACTGCCTGTTTTTGTAAATAGAGGTTTATTATAACATAGCCACACCCATTTGTTTTCTTAATATATATTTTCTGTGGCTAATTTCTTGCTACAGCAGCAGAGTTGAGTAGTTGTGATAGAGACTGCATGTCCTGCAATGCTTAAAATATTTACTCTCTGGCCTTGACAGAAAAAACTTGACCACTCTGTCTGTTAGTTTCTTGGGAATTTGGAGGAAATCCCTAAGGTGGGAATTCTATATTCACCAGTACAAAAATCAGAAGAAGCATTTTCTTCATTGTGGAAAAGAGAAAATAATTCATTTAAGAGGGAAAATAATTTATATCAGTTCTTATCTATATTCATTTTGGGGGGTTGTGAAAATAGGTCCAGCATCCAAAACCCAAAGGTGCTCACCTGGAAGGTACCTGTACACTTTGACTAGAATCCTTTTGGACACTGACAATCTCAGGGCAACTCCCAGGTCGTCAGTTTTTCTTTCTTTCATCTGTCAAACTTTTCTTCCTCCATGAACATTAGAAATAAATGATGCCCAGCTGAGCAGGAATGTGTGTCCTGTTTTAGGAAGGAGTGAACTTCAAAATTGTGACTGGTGACTTCACTCAGGAGGAACAGGGCTCTTGGAATCCTGCTCAGAGGACCCTGGACAGAGATGTGATCCTGGAGAACCACAGGGACTTGGTCTCTTGGGGTAAGGATACAGTCCTTGGACCTTAATGGAAGGTTTT